CCATGAAGAGGACAGCTGGTGGTATGTGACTATAATGAACAGAGCTGGTGACAAGAGATACTAATGTTAAAAGCAAATGTGAAGACAATTATGTAACATGTGCACATTGCATTGTGTATGTGTGTGAGTGCGTGCGTGTGTGGGTATGTGCTTGCTTGCGTGTGCATGTGTGTGTGTCTGTCTGTGTGTCTGTCTGTGTGTCTGTGTGTGTGTCTGTCTGTGTGTGCATGGGAGAGTGTTCGCAGGTGGGTGAGCAAGGTGATTCGGAAGAATCTATTTTTGAGGCACCTCAAAAATAGACTGCTCACGCGTGAGCATGTCTGTGTGTCTGTCTGTGTGTGCATGCGAGAGTGTTCGCAGGTGGGTGAGCAAGGTGATTCGGAAGAAGCATGCCTCGTCTGTTACCAGTGTTGCCTGGCACCCAAACAATGTGAGACATGCGTTTGAATACCACCAGAACCCTAGATTGTCTAGGCTAGACATAAAGCGTCTCTTTGGACCTTTTCAGAGTATTGTTATTCCTGTTCGACAACATTGATTTTTTAACGATATCCCCCCCCCCCAAACCCTTCCTCCGGCAGCTGCTACTGGCGACCACATGCACGGACAACAAGTGCCGGATATTCTCTGCAACCATCAAAGGGGTTGACCCCAAAAGGTGCCATTAAAGGGGTTGACTCTAAGAGGTACTCTTTCCATTTGCTTGGCTCCGAACAGGTTGTTCCTGAATACGTTCAACTAACAAAGCCACTGCTCTCACACAGCTGCACGTCTTACTTAACCATCTGCAAACTCTATCTTCTTGCTGATCCCCTCGTCCCCTCGTCCCCTCGTCCCCTCGTCCCCTCGTCCCCTCGTCCTGTTGTTCTCCAACCCCCGCTTTTCCCTACTGCCCAGCTCGGAGAGTTCTTCCTCTGGCGGATTCTCAGGGAAGTTTGGCGAGGTGAGAAAGCTGGATGGTGGCTTCGCGGTTTGGTGAGCTATGGTTTTCTATGGATCAGTGCCGCTTTTCCGTACTGCACAGCTCGGAGAGTTCTTCTTCTGGCGGATTCTCATTGAAGTTTGGCGAAGAGAGGAAGCCGGGCAAGGTTTGGGGGTTTGGCGAGTTGTGGGTTTTTATGCACCGGTGCCGCTTCTCCCTATTGCCCAGCCCGGAACATTCTTCCTCCAGTGGATTCTTGGGAAATTTTGGCGGGGTGAGCTACTAGGGAATGCGAGACAAGGGGATGAGTATGGGAGGGAAGTTTGTGAAGAGAAAGGGGGTAGGTTGGATGGGATTGATTTGGAGGTGGCGAGGGAAGAATGAGCTAAAGCTGATTCACCTGGATTGCTGCTCCAGTCCAAGGGCTGGAATCTCACAGACCAGCATTGGAGGGAACTCTCCCCCCCTCCCCCCTCCCCCCCCCCCCTCCCTCCCTGCGTTCGTTCGTCCTCCCATCTCCCATTTCCAGCAACTACTGCAACTCGACCTGGCTTTTGGGTGGACCTTCGGAGCCAAGTGGTCGCCGTCAGGGGCTAACCTCGCCTTCGTTGGTGAGATAGCCCTTTTCTCTGTGTTAGGTTTTTTAGGATTCTCAAAAACCCATTCGCATGGTAAGTAGATCGCATCATGCTCTTCCTGCGCTTCCACTCGGAAACTCGCTCTCTGCTTGGTCCCTGCCCAGTGTCGCCACATCTTCCATTCATTTGTAGCACATCCTTACATGATGAGTATCATCATTCGTATGCATGCCGGCCACGACTCCACTATTCACTTCATCACATCAACGACATGCTGGTCCCTCCGTCACCTTGCATTCCCTTGCATTCCCTTCCTTCTCCGTGCTTCTCACATGCTTGCTTGCACCCCCCCCATTGGCCCACCATGCATGCCCGCACCCCCCCATTGGCCCACCATGCATGCCCGCACCCCCCCATTGGCCCACCATGCATGCTCGCATCCCCCCATTGGCCCACCACACATGCATGCACCCCCCCACTGGCCCGCCGTGCATGCATGCATGCAGGCCACGACTCCACCATTCATTTCATCAATGATGTCGGTCCCTCGCTCACCCTCCACTCCATCTCTCTCCGATACCTCCCACTGCGCGATGTAAGGTTCTACCTTTCCCAACCCTTACCACTCCCTCCCTCACCTATCTCACTCTCCGCCCCATCCCGCTACTGGCCACTTCAGGACCTAAGTGTAAGTGGTAGCCATCCTCCATTCTCCTTCATATTAAAATCCCCTCCTTGCATCCCGCTTTGTCTCCCTTCCCTTAGTGTAATTTGAAATGTCTCAGGATTGAACAGCTCTCATCCCTTTCTGCACCTCCAGGTGTTCTTCTCTCTTGCCACAGTTCGATTCTTGAGGCGCCTAAAAAATAGTACAATTTCGGAGGCGCTTCGAATCTCACCGCCCCCCCCCCCCCACACCCGCTTATCCTCTCCTTTCCTCCATGCACTGTCAGGTTCTCTTCCTCTCGGATCGGTTGCTTGTGGCTGCTGGCTTTGACTACAACCCCATTCTCTTTAGTGCCGACGCCAATGGCACATGGTGCGTGTACAGATCGGAGGCCTCCATACGCCATGCCAAGCAATAAATGCCATCCGTAGGTTATTTTTGAGTCGACTCAAAAATCACATACGCCATGCCAAGCAATTAAGTCTATGCCATCCGTTCAAGGCAGGTCTTGCAATGCATCCCATGCCATTCCACCTGCCCCCCCCCCCCCCTTCCGCTCTTTCCTCCCAACTCTATCAGTCAGGACGTTAGTGAGAGCACTGGGTGTAATGAGTCTATTTTTTAGTCGACTCAAAAATAGACTCATTACACACGGATTATCCCATGCCATTCCACCTGCCCCACTTCCCCTCTTTCCTCCCAACTCTGTCAGTCAGGACGTTAGTAAGAGCACTGGAGAACACAGAGGAACCATCCGCTAATGCCACTCCTCACCCACCTGTTTCCTCTCCCCTGACCTCCCCCTGCCATCCCTTGCATCCTCCCACCATCAGGACGTTTGTGAGAGTATTGGATGACGCTGAGGAACCTTCCTCCACTGCCACTGGCACTGCTCTCTCTGCGGTAACTTCACTCTTCCTCCGCCTCCCACCCCCCCGCTTCCCGCTCCCGGCTCCCCGCTCTCCTCCCCTTCCATCTCTTTCTCTCTTGTGTGCTTTGTCCCTCGCCGCTCCCCACCTCTTCCTCCCATTTTTCGCTTGTATTCCTCTCCCCGTCGCATTTCTCGCTTGTATTTCTCCCATTTCTCGCTTGTATTCCATTTCCGTATTCCTCTCCCAGTCGCATTCCTCGCTTGTTCCCCTCCTCCTCTCATTGCATCCCCTTTGCAGGTCCTTCAAACAAAACCATTTTGCTGGTCGGTGAAGCAGAGCAGTGGTCTCTAGAGAACTCCGAAGACGGCAGTTCTCGTTATTGAAGCTACCCTCAAGGCCTCTACATCTGAAGCTGCTGCTTGCCCTTCTCTCATCGTGTATCTCCCCCCTCGTCTCCTGTTTTCCCCTCTCCTCTCCCCTCCCCCTTGCGTCCCTTACAGAAGGACCCATTCGGTCGGTCAATGGAGCGGGGCAATTCTCTCCGCTCCTCGTTGACCGACGCTGCTCCCAACGCTCCTTCCAATCCCGACTCTGAGCTCTCTAAAGGACCGAGCACTGTTCACCAGGACTGCATCACGTGAGTTGTCGTTTTGTGTGCAAGAAGGCTTCACGCGGTGAATGTATTTGTCCTTGAGAGTTGTATCGTGCATGCATCACATCGCCCATGCATCACATCGTCCATGCATCACATCGTGCATCCATCACATCATCCATGCATCACATCGTGCATGCATCACATCGTCCATGCATCACATCGTGCATGCATCACATCGTCCATGCATCACATCGTGCAAGTCTCGCGGTTGCATGGTATGCAAGTCCTGCTTTCGCTTCCGTGCCGTTTTTGCCGTGAATTGACCCGGAAACTAAAATTCTGCGTTACCATTCTGACATGGGCCTCTGTAGCCTCTTTCATCGCCTTTCTTCTCATTCACCACCCTCTTTCCATGTCATCATTGTGGAATTGCAACCCCTTTCTGCAGCTGCATCCGGCCACTGGGATCGGCAGATGATTCCATCATTCAGCAATTCTCTACCTCAGGTGCGCACCACTACAAATGTATATCCTGACAACCTACACATGCAGAAATCGGCAAATGTTTCTATGGCGATTTAAGTCTGCACCTCAAGCACCGGCAGCACCGCCCATCCAATGGCACATCCACCCTTATGTGGTTGTGCCTGGCATATCCAGGCATAGCACTGCACGGGTGTCGGGCATAGCTTGCCTCTTATGGTTACCTCAATATAAAGACCTTCTGTTGCCAACTTCCATCAGTCTTTTTTACGAATCATGGAGCGTCTCCTCACCTCTCCTACCCCTTATTGCCTTTTGGTTTCGGCAGGTTTAGATGGGAAGGTGGTTGTATGGGACGTGTCAGGCTTGCACCTAGCCCGGTACACTTCACGGCCAGGCCATTAAAATCTGTGCGGCTTTTTGTTGTACCAGTTTTATATTCAGTATGGCAAGATAATGTACCTGGTTTGTGCCTCTTTGCTTAAGTAGAATGTTTAGATAGAAAATGCTCCACCTCAAAAGCCAGGATGTGTGAACCGAAGAGAACTGCAACGCGTGTGAACAGCTGTAGCAACAAAGTTACTGACGGAAGCAAATTCTCGCCAGCTTCCCTCGCGGCAGTTTCATCTCTCCGCGTACGCTGTTGCTATTGGACCACACCACTTCAGCGCGCTTCATCTCCGCTCTGTGTGGTGCATCCGTGGTTCCGGCATGGCAAGCACGGCATCCGTGAGATTCAGGCGATCGAAACCGTCGCGTTGTTCCTCTTACCGCCGTCGGATCGAAGGTTTCCTTCACCTTTCAGACATGGTTGTAATGTAATCGCTTGTTTCATCACTTTTCTCCCCAGAAGACCAATTCTGCGTTTACTGCAGTCTGTGTTTTTCGTTTTTTCGTTTCTCTGTTCTCTCTGCTCTGGAATTCTGCTCTATTATCAGGCAAAGTTTTCCTCAGCCCTACATGCCAAGCAACGCCGGCCCGTTTCATGGTAGTCGAATAGATTAGTGCAGTCGGACTAGGCGAAGGCGATCTTCCTGTAGTCAGGGTTCGTGTGCGTGCGACACGTTCTAGTGCGTCGTCATTCTCAGCTTTCCGTTTTCGCCAGAGCGCTTCGAGTATTCTACCGAATCCGCCTCTGAATCCTTCCTAAGTAAAATTTAGGTTTCTTTTCACGCTCATCCCGAGCTGGCCACGCCTTGGTGTAGAGCTCAACTGGGTGTTACGATTTACCGGGTGTCGTCATTGGCAGGGGGTTGGGATTAACCAGGTGTGTTGGGGCTGACGGGGGGTTGAGATGGGGAAGTTAGGGAAGGCGAAGGCCAAGGCGAAGGTGTCAGAGCAGCCGCTTAAATACGTCGGTACGACGGACCCGATCGCTGCAGCGAGGCACGTCAAGTGGGCGCGAGTGGCGTTCTTCGTCGCTATCGGAATCGATATTGCCTTCACCCTAGTGAGTGCAGCACCTTAGCGACGCCATAGCAGGGGATCTCGACTCTATAGCGAGGCACCGGGACAGTGCTGTTTGTTACGAAAGCACGAGAGGCCAGTCGTGCCGTCGATTCGTTCCATTTCTTCTCATCTGATTTGTGAATCTTCGCATTCCTCCTGGCTTTATTCACTTATTTCTTTTTTGCTTCTTTTTCTTCCTCGTTTTCGTTCTTGTCCAGGCTCTGCATTATTCTCTCCACAACGCCGTCTGGACCCCCGATTTAAGCTCCTTCAGCGAATTCGTTGAAAGCCTCCTCAGCTTCAAGTCAGACTCCCTCGATCTTATCCTGATCGCAATAATCAGGGCAATCTCTCTGTCAATCCTATCAGAAATAGCCGCTCGGTACGCGTGGCAGGAAGGCTGGGAGCTAGAAATCCCTAGGAAGGAAGAGAAGGGGAAGGGAGGAGGGGGGTCAGGAGGAGCCAATGCAGCAAGGAGAGGGTCTCAGGATATAAACGGGGGGTTGACTGCTCCGCTCCTGGTGCGTGGGACACCGATGGAGAAGGACAAAAAAGAAGGGGAAAGAGAGGAGGAGGATGAGGAGGAGGAGAAGAAGCACGAGGTGATATCGTGGAAGAAGGATGAGGAGGACCAGGGCTTTAAGGAGTGGATGAGCAACGTGTCAGCTAAGGACGTGACCGTCTTCGCCTCCTTCCTCCTCTGCACCTTCTTCCAGGTCCGTACATTACACCCGAGATCCTGTTCATGGCACATTCTTCCACCTTGGTACATGTTTCCCGTGACTTTTGAGCCGACTCAAAGGTCACCAGGCTTTAAGGAATGGATGAGTAATGTGTCGGCTAAATACAGTGACTGTCTTCGCCTCCCTTCCACCCCTCTGCACTTTCTTCCACGTCCGTATGGCTCTCACAACTTTTCTTGCTGCACATTCTTGTAGTGCATCGCTTTCAAATTCCTTGCGAGCGAGTGGTTCATGGTGCTGCCGGCTGTGCTCTCAAATTCTCATGATCAACGCTGATCAACGCTGAGGTCTCGTAGTTCATGGGCAGAAGAATGTGGTGCCACGCATGCTAAGCTCTCTCTCTTCTTTCCCTTCTTCCCGTCGCCCCTCCCTCCCTCCCTCCCTCCCTCCCTCCCAGGTGTGCGTGGGCGCCAAGTGCGTCAGCTTCGCCTTCCCCAGCGAGCTGCTGCAGGGTTGACTCATCGGCTCTGCTGTGCCCTGGGTCAGGGAAAACCCACCCCCTTCTCCCCACTCCCCTCTCCCTTCTCCCCACTCCCCTCTCCCTTCTCCCCACTCCCCTCTCCCTCTCCCCACTCCCCTCTCCCTTCTCCCCACTCCCCTCTCCCTTCTCCCCACTCCCTTCTCCCCACTCCCCTCTCCCTTCTTCCCACTCCCCTCTCCCTTCTCCCCTCTCCCCTCTCCCCTCTCCCCTCTCCCCTCTTCCCGCGCAGGTGTACGTGGGCGCCAAGTGCGTCAACTTCGCCTTCCCCAACGAGTTGCTCCAAGGATGGCTCATGGGGTCGGCCATCCTCTGGATCAACGCCGAGTCAACGCTCCTGGGGAACCTCTCCGAGTCCAGTGGCGTGCTGGGGCGGGCACTGGCGCTAAGGGAGAAGAAGGCGGAGCACGCAGCACATGCACATGCACACGGGCTCGGGCACGTGCATGGGGCGAGGAGGAGGTCGTCTGAGGGAGAAAATGGAGCCGGAGTGGAAGTGACTACCTCTGCTGGCGGCTCACACGGCGTTACCAGGTTAGCCAGGGGGCTGAGGGCTGGCTCATGGGGTCTTGCACAGCACACCGTTCTCTGACAGCTCTCTGACATTCTTTGGATCATTGCGGAGCCAACGCTCCTGGGCAACATTCTTTCGTTGGAGACGGTGGGGACGGTGTGACCGTGGCTAGTGGGTTCCCGGCAGTTGGCAACATCTCTTGGCCGTCTTCTCTCTCCCGAGTTCACCCCCTGTTGGCAACCTCTCCGAGTCTGATGGGGTGTGCTTGAGTCGACTCAAAAGCGGGCTAGTGGGGCCTCGTAATCTCTCATGGGCGTTTTCTCTCTCCCGAGTTCACCCCCTATCGGCAACGTCTCCGAATCTGGTTGGGGGTGCTCGGCTGGTTTTGATTTTTTCTCAAAAGCCCAGCTGTGTCTGGCCGATCCTCGTTTGATTAAGGACTGTTTGTTTGTTTGCTCTAACGCACTGTCTCCCGTCATCTCCATTCCCCACCCTCCATTCTCTGAAAAACACACACACGCATACATGCACGCACGCACGCGCGCATGCACGCACGCGCGCATGCACGCACGCACCCACACGCGCATGCACACACACACACACACACACACACACACACACACACACACACACACACACACACACACACACACACACACGCGCGCGCGCGCGCGCGCGCGCACAAGCACGTGCACACCCACACCACGCACGCGCAGTGAGAAGAAGAAGTCTCTTCGACCCAGCAGCACCAGCCACCAGCAGCAATAGCAGCAGCAGCAGCAGGAGGAGGAGGAGGAGGAGAGGGGGGTGTTGGATGAGCCACCTTCAAGAGGCGATCAGGGCATCCAAGCGGAAAGGGTTCTCACACACACCCTGACAGTACCTCATGCGCTCCTCTCTGTTCCACTCCCCACCCCCCTACCTCTCATACACGCGCACAGCAGTGGCAGCGGAAAGGAGTCTTCCTCTGGGCCCAGCAGCACCCATCACCAGGGGCGGCACTTTTTGAGGCGCCTCAAAAGTAGTTCCACTCCCCACCCCCTTACCTCTCATACACGCGCACAGCAGTGGCAGCGGAAAGAAGTCTTCCTCTGGGCCCAGCAGCACCCATCATCAGGGGCAGCACGAGGAGGTTCTAGACGGGACAAGGGCACCCAAGTGGAGAAGGTCCTCACTCCCCGGCAGTACCTCATGCCCTCCTCTCGTCTCGTCTCCCCTCTTCCCTACCCCCAAAACACACCAGCTGACCTCGACCCAGCAACTCCTCTCACCAGGGGCAGCACGAGGAAGTGTTAGACGAAGATGCGCTAAGGGGAGACAAGGGAATCCGAGTGGAGCAGTACCTCATGCGCTCCACTCCTCTCGTCTCCCCACCTCCCTACCCCCTAAACGCACCAGCAGACCTCGACACAGCAACTCCTCTCACCAGGGGCAGCACGAGGAAGTCTTGGATTGGATCAGACGGCTTTGAGAGGGGATAAGGGAGTCCGAGTGGAGAAGGTTCTCACCCCCCGGCAGTACCTCATGCGCTCCTCTCCTCTCCTCTCCTCTCCTCTCCTCACCTCCCTACCCCCAAGACGCGCCAGCAGATCTCGACCCAGCAATGCCAATCACCAGGAGGAAGTGTTAGACGAAAATGCCCATAGGGTAGAATCCGAGTGGAGAAGGTTCTCAACCCCCAGCAGTACCTCATGCGCTCGTCTCGTCTTGTCTCGTCTCCCCACCTCCCTACCCCCAAAACACTCCAGCAAACCTCGACCCAGCAACGCCAGTCACCAGGGGGAGCACGAGGAAGTGTTAGACGAAAATGCCCTAAGAGGAGACAAGGGCATCCGAGTGGAGAAGGTGCTCACCCCCCGGCAGTACCTCATGCGCTCCATCGGCCTGGCTTACAAGGAGCTGCCGCTTATAGTCACCGGCTTCACGTGCCTTGCTGTCACGTCCGGGGCAGGGCTGCTCATCCCCACCTACCAGGTGCGTCTCATCGTCGGGTTCCGGTCAAAGCACCACTTACCCAGTGATCCATCGGCCGCGCTTACAAGGAGCTACCGCTTATAGCCACTGGCTTCACGTTTCTTGCTGTCACCTCGGCATCTCAGTTGTTGGGAAACGCATGCATGCCAAGACAGGGGGTGATTGTTCAAGGCATCGCATACTTCCACTCACCCTCCCAAGTTCCCGCACCTCCTACCACGCCCTGTCCTTTCCCCGATTTTGCAGGGTGTTTTTGAGAATTCTCAAAAACACCTCCTACCACGCCCTGTCCTTTCCCCGATTTTGCAGGGTGTTTTTGAGAATTCTCAAAAACACCTCCTACCACGCCCTGTCCTTTCCCCGATTTTGCAGGGTGTTTTTGAGAATTCTCAAAAACACCTCCTACCAGCCCTGTCCTTTCCCCGATTTTGCAGGGTGTTTTTGAGAATTCTCAAAAGCACCTCCTACCACGCCCTGTCCTTTCCCCGATTTTGCAGGGTGTTTTTGAGAATTCTCAAAAGCACCTCCTACGACGCCCTGTCCTTTCCCCTTGCACCAGGGTCGGATCGTCGACGACGTGAAAGACGCCCACGTCGACAAAGCCAAGTTCCATCAAGATGTGATCGCCATGGCGCTGTGTTCCCTCGTGACCGGCATCTTCGGCGGGCTGCGGGGGCTCTGCTTCTCCGTGGTCGGGAAACGGGTGCTTAAGACCCTCCAGGACAAGCTGTTCGAGGGGGTGATCATTCAAGACATCGCCTACTTCGACTCCACCACCACCGGGGAGCTCACCTCCAGGCTGACCAACGATGTGGCGGCAATGTCAGAGCCTATCAACTGGCAGCTGTCGGCGCTGGTGCGCAACATGGCGTCGCTGGTGGGCGGCGTGCTGCTGTGCTTTGTGACCTCGTGGAAGCTGAGCATTCTGGCGTTTACCACCATGGCGCCAATCCTGCACATTACGGCTGTGTACTCGCGCTGGTCTAGGGACCTCAACAGGAAGCGATATGCGGTGAGTTGGAAGGGGTGGCCCCAGGTAGGGTGTGAGTGAGTGAGTGAATGGGGTGTGGTGTGAGTGTGGAAAATAGTGCAAGTGGGTGGAGTGAGGAATCATCGTTGTATCTGCAAAGCTGCGTGCTGCTGTGCTTTGTGACCATTCTGCATGCCACAGCGGCCGTGTACTCACGCTGGTCTAGTCTAGGGATCTCAACAGGAAGCAATACGCCATGTCTTGGGGCGGGGGGGATGCTGCAAGTGGCTGGGGGATGAGAGAACGACCTTGAGAGCACTCCTCTCTTCACGTCTTGTGTCTCCCCCTCGCAGGTACTGGCTGAGGCCAACAGCGCGGCGTCAGAGGCACTGAGCAACATCCGCACGGTACGGGCGTTCTCCACAGAGACGGTGGAGCGGGACCGGTACGAGAGCAAGACCATGGCCGCCATGGCCAAGGGCGTGAGGGACGCCCTCGCTTACTCGGGCGCCGTCGCCATCAACAACTGGCTCGACCTGGGGGCCTCCGTGCTCATCCTCTGGTGGGATAGCCCGTGCCAGGAGTAGGCTCATCATCTGGTGTTTGCTGGGACGGTGCTGGGATTGTGGGTATCTGCGGGTTTGATGGGGTTGGTGTGGCACGCCTCAAGAAGCTGATTCAATTTCTTGTTTATCTCTATCTCCCTGATTTTGAATTCCTCAGGTACGGCGGAGTGCTGGTGATGGAGGGGCACATGCGGCTGGGGCAGCTGATCGCCTTCCAGCTCTACTGGAACCTGATCCAGTCCGGCTACCAGAGCATCATGTCAGTCCTCATGTCGCTCACCAAGGCCTCTGGCGCTGCACAGCGCGTGCTGTCCCTCATCGACTCGCTGCCGGATATTGACCCAGATGCCGGCACCAAGGTGAGCGGGTGTGCCGATTTTTGAGGCGCCTCAAAGATGCCGGCACCAAGGTGAGCGGGTGTGCCGATTTTTGAGGCGCCTCAAAGATGCCGGCACCAAGGTGAGCGGGTGTGCCGATTTTTGAGGCGCCTCAAAGATGCCGGCACCAAGGTGAGCGGGTGTGCCGATTTTTGAGGCGCCTCAAAGATGCCGGCACCAAGGTGAGCGGGTGTGCCGATTTTTGAGGCGCCTCAAAGATGCCGGCACCAAGGTGAGCGGGTGTGCCTGCATGTGTGTGTGAGAGAGAGAAATAAGGGGGCCGGGGGGGGAGGGGGGGAGGAGGAGGGGGGTATTTGGGAGGTACCAGTCGTCATATCGCTTACCAATGCCTCTGGCGCTGCACAGCGCGTGCTGTCGCTGATTGAATTGCTGCCAGGTAGTCTATTTTGAGGCGCCTCAAAAATGGAATTGCTACCAGGTATGGTGTTGACCCCTATGCTGGCGCGAAGGTGAGCGCATCATCATTCTGCAGTGCCCCTCGCCTGCAGTGCCCCTCGCCTGGAGTGCCCCTCGCCTGCAGCTAGTGTTGTCACTCATTGACTCGCTGCTCCAATGCCGGCACACGACCCCAATGCGGGCACATGAGTCAACTATTCCTATTTCGCTTCTTGTCTTGCCTTGTCCTTCGCTGTTCGCCTTCAGGTGTCCACGCTGCAGGGCTCCATCCGCATGGAGGACGTGCACTTCCACTACCAGATGCGCCCAGACCACCCAGTTCTCAAAGGTACGTCCGTTTTGTTCTGAGTCCCTCCCCCGCGATGGTCCCACCTGGTGCATAGAGGGCGCAAGCGTGCTCTAGTCGGCCGCAGTGGCGGCGGCAAGTCAACAGTCGTTCATCTGCTCATGTGCCTCCCCTCCCTCCACCCCCTCCCGTATTCCCTTGAGGTATATCCCTGCACGTGCACCCAGGCCAAGCAAGTATTCGCCCTGGTGGGTCGCAGTGGCGGCGGCAAGTCAACAGTCGTTCATCTGCTCATGCGCTTCCACGACCAGTTTTGAGGCGCCTCAAAACTAGACTCATCTGCTCATGTGCTTCCACGACCAGTTTTGAGGCGCCTCAAAACTAGACTCATCTGCTCATGTGCTTCCACGACCAGTTTTGAGGCGCCTCAAAACTAGACTCATCTGCTCATGCGCTTCCACGACCAGTTTTGAGGCGCCTCAAAACTAGACTTATCTGCTCATGCGCTTCTACCACCCCCCCATGCCATGTCGTGTGTGTCCCCCCCCTCTCCCCCCTCTCCTCCTCCCCCTTTCCAGGTGTATCCCTGCATGTCGACCCCGGTCAGACTTTTGAGTCAACTCAAAAGTCTCCCCCCCCCTCTCCCCCCCCCTCTCCCCCCCCCCCCTTTCCAGGTGTATCCCTGCATGTCGACCCCGGTCAGGTGTGCGCCCTGGTGGGTCGCAGCGGCGGCGGCAAGTCCACAGTCGTGCATCTTCTCATGCGCTTCTACGACCCCGTGCACGGCCGCATCGTGATGGATGGACGAGATCTGCGCGAGCTGAATCTACGGTCCGTGCACGCGCACATGGGGCTGGTGGCGCAGGACACGCAGATGTGGGCGTGCAGCATTGAGGAGAACATCGCTTATGGGCTGCCGACTTACACCAGGGCTGAAGTGGAAGAGGCTGCCAAGTAAGTCTTACGAAAATGGGGCTGGCGGTTTTGAGTCGACTCAACTGCACACACAGGCCCAACAGCACATGGGGCTGGTGGTTTTGAGTAAACTCAAATGCACACACAGGCCGAACAGCACATGGGGCTGGTGGTTTTGAGTAAACTCAAATGCACACACAGGCCCAACAGCACATGGGGCTGGTGGTTTTGAGTAAACTCAAATGCACACACAGGCCCAACAGCACATGGGGCTGGTGGTTTTGAGGCGCCTCAAAAACAGACTCCTCACGCATGGCGCAGGACACACATTTGTGGGCGTGCAGCATTGAGGAGAGTATCGCTTATGAGTTTCCTTATGATACTCGAGCAGAAGTCGAGGAAGCAGCCAAGTAAGCATCTTTGCATCCTTATATGTTTGTTACGGATATAGCACATGGGGCTGGTGGCGCAGGGGGCTGGTGGCCCAATAGCACATGGGGCTGGTGGCGCAGGGGGCTGGTGGCCCAATAGCACATTGGGCTGGTGGCGCAGGACACCCAGATGTGGGCATGCGGCATCGAGGAGAACATCGCTTATGGGCTGCCATCATACACTCGAGCTGAGGAGTCTAATGCTATGAACTGAGAACTCCTATGGCTATGAACTGAGCTGAGGAGCTGAGGAGCTGGGAACTCAAAAATAGACTCCTCACCGATGAGAACATCGCTTTTGGCCTGCCATCATACACTCGAGCTGAAGTTGAAGAAGCAGCCAAGTAAGTACTGTTGCGGTGATGCTTGCTCCACCACACAACTAGCAGCAGCAGCAGCAGCACGCGGGGTGGTGGTGCAGGGCACGCAGATGTGGGCGTGCAGCATTGAGGAGAACATCGCCTAAGGGTTACCTTGTGATACCGGGGCGGAGGTTCACGAGCCTGCCAAGTAGGCATCTTTGCAACCTTTTGTAACGAGGTGACTTTTGAGTTGACTTTTGAGTTGACTTCTGTAACGAAGTCACTACGGCTTACCCTGTTATTTATACCGGGGCGGAGGTTCAAGAGCCTGCCAAGTAGGCATCTTTCAACCTTTTGTGTTAGTAACGTAGCACATGGGCCTGTGGCTGGTGGCGCAGGGAGCTGGTGGCCCAATAGCACATGGGACTGGTGCTGCACTACACCCAGCTGTGGGTACAGCATGGAGCACGTGGGGTGGGCTGTGGGTGCTCTAGTGTGTGGAGCACTCAGACTCCTTTCATTTCTCCCACATGCGTCTCTTGCCCGCGCCTTCCCTTACAGGCATGCCTATGGGCGAGAGAAGCATGCGGGGGAGATTTCCCAGAGGGCCATGCCACGCGCGTGGGGGAGATCTGGCTAAAAAAATAACCTGGCGCAATGCCTGTGTGCTTCCCACTCATCCTCCCCCCCCCCTCCCAGGCACGCCAGTGCACATGATTTCATCACCAAGTTCCGTGAGGGCTATGCCACTCGCATGGGGGAGAGAGGGGGGGCAGTGTCAGCTGGAAGGAAGCACCCTGGGAGCATGTTTCCCACTCACGCGCACTCTTGTGATTCCCCCAACCCCCATCCCCCTACCAGGCACGCCAACGCGCATGATTTCATCACCACGTTCTCGAGGGCTATGCCACACGCGTGGGGGAGCTGTGAAGCAAGCATTGCCATTCCACACTTGTCTCCCCTCTCATTCCATCCCCCTCCCAGGCACGCCAACGCACATGACTTCATCACCAAGTTCCCTGAGGGCTATGCCACTCGCGTGGGGGAGAGGGGAGTTCGGCTGTCAGGCGGCCAAAGGCAGGTGAGGCGATCAGAACTCAAATCGAGGTCAGGCGAGGCGATCAGCTCTCAAATGAGGGCAGGAGAGGTAGTTACAGTCACGAAAGGCAGTTAGAGTCCAGAATTCAGGTGAGCCATTAGGTCAGTTAGGTCAGGTAGTCCCCCCCAACCCCCCCTCCCTCCGCTGCCCCCACTGTCGCTCTTCAGCACATAGCCATGGCCCTCATGCTGCTGCTCCGGCTGCACATGCTGCTATTGGACAAGGCCACGTCAGCGCTGGACTCGGATATCGAGGCCCTGCACCAGGGGGTGCTGGACCAGCTGATAGCTGAGGGCTGGCGCACCGAGACGACATCACTCCTCGCACCTGATTCAACAACACGTTTCCAACCACCTCTTCTTCCCCTGTTCTCTTGGACCCCCCGCCTTCCTGCTCCCCTTCCCACGCCACCCTCCCCCACTTAAGCGCATTTGCTCGCATGTTGCTGCGCCGGTCGCGTGTGCTGCGATTGGACAAGGCCACATCAGTGCTGGACGCAGAGAGCGAGGCGCTGGTGCAGGGGGCGCTGGACCGGCTGATAGCTGAGGGTGGGCGCACAATCGTGCTGGTGGCTCATGGATTGAGCATCACATCCCCAGCCTGCCCTCCTCCTGTTGACTTCTGAGTCGACTCAAAAGTCACCTCGCGAAGGGTGGGCACACCATCGTGCTGGTGAATCATGGATTGAGCAGCACATCCCCAGCCCACCTATTCTTGACTGTTCTCTCTTCCCTCCAATTTCCGGCCTCCCCCCCTTCCCTTCCCTTTGCTTCAAAAACCCCTTCTCCGTTGCCCCCTCAGCGCATTGCCATTGCTCGCATGTTGCTGCGCCGTCCGCGAGTGCTCCTATTGGACGAGGCCACGTCAGCACTGGACGCAGAGAGCGAGGCGCTGGTGCAGGGAGCTTTGGACCGGCTGATAGCGGAGGGTGGGCGCACCATCGTGCTGGTGGCACACCGGCTGTCGACTGTGCGGAATGCCAACAGCATCTGCGTGCTGGAAGGGGGGCGCGTGGCTGAGAACGGCACGCACGAGCAGCTGCTGCAAATACGTGAGCTGGGTTTCATTTGGAGTGGAGTATTTGCTTTCTCGGGAGGGGAGGGTGGGTAAGGGGAGAAGTACTACTAGCCCGGCTGTGAGTTCATCAGGGCCTCGCACGTTAATTGTAGCGGGCGGGCTCACCATTGTGCACCTACTGCACCCGGACTTGAATACGGTAGGCATACCGGCTGTCGACTGAGCGGAATGCCGACAGCATCTGCGGGCTGGAAGGGGGCAAGGTGGCTGAGAATCGCATGCACGAGCAGCTGCTGGAAATTCGTGAGCTGGGTGATGGTGGGAGCGAAGCAGCTGCTTCCTGTCGAGTGTGAGGGGGGGCATGTGGCCGAGCATGGCACGCATGAGCAGCTGCTGGAAATACGTGAGTTGGGTGATGGTGGGAGCGATGTAGCTGCTTCTTGTTAAATGTGTGAGGGGGGGTCAGTAGCCGAGCATGGCACACACGAGCAGCTGCTGGAAATGCGCAAGTTTCGGCATTGAATGTAGGAGCTGCTTTGCAATAGAGTGCCTGTCCAAATGCACCTCAAAGTCTTCCCCTCCCTCCCCTCCCTCCCTGAACTGTTCATTTTTATAAACTCTTGTGTGTCCTTTGTTTTGTAACATGTTGCTCCTGGTTATGTTTTGCTTGCAGCTAATGGGGTGTATGAGAGGCTGGTGAGGAGGCAGCTAAGCAAGGCAGCCAACACCCTTGGAGGTATCGAGTCGTCAGCAGCCGCAGCTGACAAGCACGATCGTATCGATACTCTGATAGAGGAAGTGCACTGAGGTGCATGAGTTCCCTCCCGCATTGTATCTGCTCGTTGTTACCGGCAACATCATACAAGAGTAGAGTTTAAGAAAAACTACTCAGTTGTAGTAGTTCGTTCGTTCGCACGGCGCATGTTGAAAGACAGTTAACATTCAGGGGTGCACAACCATATGTGTTGCAAAGGGGTTCCCAATCTCAGATCAGATCAGAGTGTTTCGACTAAATGTCCAAACAGGATAACTGGCGAATTTTCCTCTCTATCTTTGATTCCCAGATTTCGCATTTCCAAATCCCATTTCTATTTGTTTTGATCCCCATGTGGGGAGGGGTGTGCCTTCCTCAGAGATAGTGCAATACTGAGGCGACACTCGCAGGGCCGACCAGCAAGCTGGCCATTGGCACCTGCCCCCAAAAGAAATTAATTTAATATCATGTGGACCGATGGTCCACGTATCAGATATTAAACTGATAAGAACAGATACTACACTTGATCTTAGCCAAAAGGCCGAGAAAGGTATGCCTCTAGTCCGTCAGACTTCTGTCTATATTGCTCCGAAAATGCTTGGTATGACTCTGCGAAGTGGGTATTTGTGCTTACGTGGAACGCTGAATGTTGGCTTGTCGTCCCACTTTCGAGTTCGATGATACACCCAGCCCAACCCAATTCGCGCTTCCCCCTCAAGTTTCGAACTTAGTTCCAAACTATGTTTTCACATTGCTTGCTGCTGTGCCCCATTTCGAGCGTAACTTTCTACCTACTTTCCGCAGCTCCACGTGGCCGCGGTTTCAGAATGCAACGTTCAGGATATAACCCCACGGTCAGAGATTCGCGCGCTAGGCAAGGGACTGGCGTGCAACCTTTTCGCGACGAACCGCAACTAAGTGACAGGCTCCTCGCGGTTTCCTCGGTTTGACTGTCGTAGAGGCTCGCTCTGTGCCGTGATGGTTTATAGAGTCTCTAAGCGTGTCTAATTTCCTGTTCTTGTCGCTTAATTTCTTCCTCCGGCTTTCCTCGCGGAATATCATCTGATTCCGAGCCACTGTAGAGCTGCCACACGCAATGCTTCAGTTACGCTCCACTTCCGTCCGTACTCCTTCCCTCCCTTCCGTTATGCTCACTTCCGTTGCGCTAAAACTCATCTCGCTCACACGATTTATGCTTACTCGTTGTGCTGTCTCATGTATCCCTCTCCCCGCAGCTCGCGTGCTCCCTCTTAGGTGATTTTTGAGTCGACTCAAAAACCATTGCTTACTCGTTGTGCTGTCTCATATATCCCTCCCCCCGCAGCTCGCATGCTGAGGATGATTCAAGAGTTGACTCAAAAATCACATTCGTTGTGCTGTCTCATGTATCCCTCTCCCCGCAGCTCGCATGCTCCTCTTACCCTAGTCCCCACATTAATCTGTCCGCTTCCCGTTCGGTTTGTCCTTGGCTATTGCTTTCTGTTTTCCTTCGACACCTCCTATTCCCCCCGTCGCCTGTCCTGCTCATCCCCTTCGGACCCCTCGGCAGCGGTCAGCCAAGTTGTGGTGCTTGAATTGGAGTTACCCAATGTCACTGCGCACCTGTGGCGCAGTGGCCGTGGACTCCAGTCCTCTGCTGCAACACAGCACCTTGGAGTTGCCGAGCAAAGCGAGGCAGGGGAGAAAAGGGGGGGAGGTCCAACTTACAAACCATAGCAGGGGAGAGTCTCGATAGTTTAGATTACACTAGCACACTCCAAAACTTTCTGTGGACTTCCAGTCCAGTGCTTGCACTTAGTTAGAGCTGACAATTTTGTATGCATTCAAGCTCTGTAACTTGTGATATTTCTACTACCACTTGTCTTGGGGTGTCGTGTTGTGCTTACCGTTGGTGTTGTGCATGTTACGAGCTGGTACCAGCTCAGTTGGCTCAGAAGTGCTGCCGGACAATAGTTAGCAGTTCGCTTCATTCATTCGTTACTGTAGGCTTCTGAAGAATAAGCTGCAGGTGCAGTGCATCGTGCACCATGCCGGGGGGAGTGCAGGGGGAGTGCAGTGCACGGTGCACCATGCCAGGCCGTGAGTGCCACATCAGGCGCACTTGGCATGGAAATGCTGCCAGACGAATACTCGGGTTAGCTAGCAGCTCCAATTCTGTAGAAGGTATGAAGAGTACACCACTGCAGGTACCCGTGCCATGACTCATGAGCGCTCCATGGTACCAGGCTCATGTCACTTGGCCCGGAAGTCGAGTCGTATCAGGCCTCACTTGGCATGTAAGTCGTATCGCACCATGCCTCACTTGGCACGGAAGTCGTGCCGGAAAATCGTGAGATTTTGCGTGAACTTGTCTCGGTTTTTGGGGTCCAGGTTCCGCCCCACATCCGCCATGAGCTTGTCAAAGCACTCGGCTATGCGCGCCCGCTGGTCAGAGGGCTGGGAAGGCGGGGGGGGAGGAGGGGGGGAAGAAAGCTGAGAGAAGGAAACGGAGATAGGGCGATAGGAAACGGAGACAGGGATTTTGTGGGGAAAGGCTGTTGAGGGGAGGAGACACATGCTGTGCATGTGTGAGAGAGAGAATCGGGGAAGAGGGGGGGGAGAGAAGAGGGGAGAGACGAGCAGGAGAGGGAGGAGCAAACCTGCGAGGAGAGTATTTGCAGCTTGACATTGTTGAAGAGCTTCTCGTTGATGAGGACGAGAGAGCAGGTCAAGGAAGGAAGGGAGAGAATGTATGTGCGTGTGTGTCTTTGAGAGAGAGGATTAGGTAGGAGGCAGGGGCTTACTTGCGAGGAGAGTATTTGCAGCTTGAGGTCGTTGAAGAGCTGCTCGTTGACGATGATGAGCGGAGAGGATGAGAGAGAGGAGGAGAGAGGGCAAGAGCAAGAGGGTAGGGGGTATCATACTTGCGAGGAGAGTATTTGCAGCTTGAGGTCGTTGAAGAGCTGCTCGTTGACGAGAATGAGCGACAGCATGGGCCTGCTGAGGCTCCACTGATTGGCGCAGTCCTCGAATAGGACGATCTCGAACAGCGTCTTGAGGATCTGGGGGGAAAGGAGGGCAGAGAGGGGAATGAGGAGAAATTGAGGAGAGAATGAGCCATGAGCGACAGCATGGGTCTGCTGAGGCTCCACTGATTTGCACATTCCTCCAATAGGACGATCTCGAACAGCGTCTTGACGATCTGACGGTGCAGCAGAGAGTGCAGAGATAGCAGGCCCAGCAAAGGGGGAATGGGGAGACAAGGCAAGAGGGAGAACATGGGACTGCTGAGGCCCCACTGGTTGAGGAACGGAGGGCACAGCAGGGAGAGCAGACAGAGCAGGGAGAGCAAGTGGAGATGACGCAAGAGGGTCAGCATGGGTCTGCACAGACCCCGCTGATTGACACATTTTTCAAACAAGGCAAACAGCCTGGAAAAGAGTATGCAAGGGAATGTGGGCTAGCTTGCCTCAGGGAAGAGCGTGGGCCACTCAGCCAAGTGCAGGGCGATGGTGAGAGTGTGTTGAAGAGGGTGGCAAGTGTTTGTGCGGGCAGACTGAGTGCGACATGAAAGAAAATAAAAAGCAAGAGCTTGGAATCTTGCCTCAGGGAAGAGCGTGGGGCACTAAACTAGGTGTTGGGTGATGGTGCGAGAAGCAGGAGAGAGATCGGCAGAAGGGTCTTTGGCTTGTCTCAAGAAGAGAGCAGGGCGAACACGGAATCTCACCTCTGGGAAGAGTGTGGGGCACTCCGCCAGGTGCTGGGCGATGGTGAGCGCAGCAGGAGAGGAGGGCGCGTCCCCTGCAGTCACGTTGTTGAAGTAGTAGGCTGCGAGGTTGTCCACTGCTGAGGCGCACTGGAGAATGGTGGGATGGGGAGGTGGGGAAGTGGAGAAAGAAGGCGACGGAAAGTGGAGGGATGGGGGCGAAGATAAGAGAGCAGCATGTTGGGAGCACCTCCTGCGGTCATGTTGTTGAAGTAGTAGGCTGCGAGGTTGTCCACTGCTGAGGCGCACTGGAGGGACAAGGGGACAAGAGAACGGAATACAGGATAGAGGACGAGTGAGTAGGGAAGGAGGGAGAGCAGCAAGCAGAAAGCGAGGAGGGCGCGTCCCCTGCAGTCATGTTGTTGAAGTAATCGGCTGTGAGGTTGTCCACTGCTGAGGCGCACTGGAGAATGAAGGGAGGGGAAGAGAAGAGGAGGGAAAGTGGAGGGTCGGGAGCTAAGACACGAGTGCACGGTCTTGGAATCATCCCCTGCAGTCAGGTTGTTGAAGTGATAGGCTGCAAGGTTGTCCTGTGCTGCCTTTTAAGGCGCCTCAAAAGATAGGCTGCAAGGTTGTCCTGTGCGGCCTATTAAGGCGCCTCAAAAGATAGGCTGCAAGGTGCAAGGGTGTGCTGAGAGGCCCTCACTCCTGCCTGTGGCGTGCTACCAGCCACCCTGCAACAAACCCACCAGTACACCCTCACCTGCGACGAGATAGACACATCCAAGCACTTGAGCCCCGTATCCAGCGATCCCACTACGTGACTGAAGGTGGCGGTAGGTAAGTTGACAATAACGAGGGTGTGGTTGTGGCAGAGCACCTCCAGAAAGGCGAAATACGCGCGGGCCAGCTGTAAAGCACGCAAAAAGGGGGGGAGGGGGGGTTCCGGGGTGGCAGAATAGAGAATAAGGGAGTAAAAAGAGAATGTGCGCGGAACCCCTCAAGGTGACTTCAGACAAAAGATAAAGACGGACGGACGGGCATGACAGGGAGCGAACAAACCCAGTTTCCAAAGAAAGGCGGGGCAAGAAGTGCATTGAAGTGGAAGTGAGGAGGCATGAAGACTACCCCCCACGTGCTCAAAGCTCCCAGGGGGAAACGGACCTTTCTAAACGCCATGATTTCAGGCAGCGGAATCGCGAGGCACAGAGCTCGAGCGCCACGTACGTCGAGGCGAGGGAATGAAGGGAAGGGGAGGAGGGAACCGATGACAGACGGACCTTTCTAAACGCCATGATCTCAGGCAGGGGGATCGAGAGGCAGAGCTTGAGTGCCACGTCGAGTGCATCGGGCAGAGCAGTGTCCCCATACAGCTCCATGACTCCAAAGTTGACGTAGTTGCCGGCTAGTGCTGCATGGGGGAAGACAGCAGAAGGGGAAGGGGAAGGGGAAGGGGAGGGGGAAGGGGAGGGGAGGGGGGAGGGGAAGGGGACGGGGAAGGGGAAGGGGAAAGGGGAAATGGAAAGAGAAAGGGAGGAAAACTTGAGTTGCCACCGAAGCAGAGAAGTATTCCCATACAGCCCATACAGCCCCATCAATACGGAGTTGATGTGACTTCCAGCTGGTGCTGCAGTATAAGAAAACATGGTTTGAATGCTCAAAAGAACACAGAGGGAAAAACAAGGCGAAAAAAAAACAACAAAAAACAAAAAAAAACATAAAAGACTGTCGGAACAGAGCGGGATCGCCCTGCAGCTCCATCTCTGTCACAGTTGCCTCAGCTCGATAATCATCTGGATTTGAGATGTCTCAAACAGAGCAGAGCAGAGCAGGGCGATCCACATGCCCTTGTACTTGCTGGTGTGCAGGTGTGGGCCGGTGGAGGCATGGCCAGCGCGTGCTTGCCATACGCCACCACCAGTTCGTGTTGAGGTGCCTCAACAGCCATTACCTTTAGTGAGTATGGTAAGGGCGATCCCAGATGCCCTTGTACTTGCTGGAGCACGGGTGCGAGCCGGTGGGCAGGGCATGGAGTGCCTGTGTACAAGTGCATGCTGGTAGGTGGTCTCGGAGTAGACACCTACCTCTCTTGTGAGTACGGTAAGGGCAATCCAGATGCCCTTGTACTTGCTGGTGTAGGGGAGCGGGCCAGTGGGCATGGCCAGAGCGTGCTTGCGACGGGGTACAAAAGATCCAGCTCTTACCTCTAGTGAGCACAGTGAGGGCGATCCATAACCCCTAGTACTTGCTGGTGTAGGGGTGCGGGCAGGTGGGCATGGATTGGGGCATGCTGTGGGCACACCCTCACCTCTTGTGAGTACCGTAAGGGCGATCCATATCCCCTTGTATTTGGTCGTGTAGGGGTGTGGGCCCGTGGGCATGGCCAGGGCGTGCTTGCCATACGCCACCACCAGCTTGGAAGCTTCCCGGAAAAGTAGGATGCCGTTGGGTGAGGACGAGTCAAAGGTGAGTCGCTGCGTTTTATTCACCACAAATTCTGCTACGAACTTCAAGAGGGGAGTGGTGACCTGGTAGGAGAAGCGGAAAAGGGAGAATGGATGATGAGGGAAGGCCAGGGGAGGGAGAGGACGAGTCAAACGTGAGCCTTTGCGTCTTGCTGACCACAAATTCAGCTACGAACTTGAGGAGGGGAGTGGTGACCTGGAGAGCGTGCAAAAGGAAGGGGAAGGGGCGAGTAAGGATGGGGGAAGGGGCGAGTAAGGATGGGGAAAGGAGGGGGGAGAGTTGCTGCGTCTTCGTCCACATGTCCTATGGCTCTCCTCCTTGAGTCACCAAACATGGCTCCGGAAATTCTCTTGGATTACTACCGGCAAAAAAAAAAAAAGCACACACACACACACACAGAAAAAACAACAGAGAAAGGGGGATGTGAATGGAAGAACAAGGATTAAGGAAGGGGGGGGGGGGGGTGGGATCCGAGCAAGCACAGGTTGGGATGTATGAACAGTGGGCAGGCCCCAGGTCATATACAACAGATGCGAGGGATGGGGGAATAAGGGGGAGAAAAACACGGAGGGAGAAGGGTACTCACTGCAGGAGCGTCAGATTACAGGACTGGGCCGTCCGAAGATGAGGGGCATGTGGGGTCAGAAGGAGGACAAGAGCTGGGGCAGGAGACTCAAGGAGTGACGGAGGGAGGGAGGAGTGGTGGGGATTGGGAGACTCACTGCAGGGGTGTCGGACCAGAACTGGGCAGTCCGCAGAATGAGAGGCATGTGGGCGGGGTAGAGCCAGTCAAACAGCAGACCAAAGGTGCGCCGGCTGACACAGGCGGGGCAAGGGCGGCAAGGGGGGTGGGGGAGAGGGGAACGGGATGATGGGATTCGTGATTGGTTGGAGCGCATGAGAACTTGATCACGAAGCGATGGAGAGAGAGGACTGGAAACAGCAGAAGTGAGACGGGAAATGACATTTGCCAAACAGAAGAACCGTACTGGACATACAATGCAGAGGGAACAACGGGAATCGCGAGTGGACGGACCATGGACGGACCATGGACGGACCATGGACGGACCATGGACGGACCATGGACGGACCATGGTCATTTTTGAGGCGCCTCAACAGTGGACCACAGTCATTTTAGAGGCGCCTCAAAAAGTGGACCATGGTCATTCCTCTCAGGTCTCTGACTGATAAAACACAGCTTCAAAACACAGCTTTCATCACACAAAGTGTGCCTGTTGGTGGCCATGGTGATCCCTCTCAGGTCTCTGGAAACGCTCCTTTTGAGGCACCTAGGAGTCAAGGTTGCGAAAAGGAACTGATACCTGTTGGTGGCCATGGTGATTCCTCTCAGATCTCTGAAAAGGCCAATAAGGGCGAACTTGACCGGCTCTGTGCGGAAGGATGCGTCTGGCATCGACTCCAGCTTCACAAACACCTGCGAAATGAGGGGTGGGAAGCGGTATGAAAATGTTAAGAGGTCCATAAGGGAAAACTTTACCGGCTCTGTGCAAAAGGATGCGCCTGGCATCTACTCCAGCTTCACAAACACCTGAGGAATGAGGGGTGTGAAGCGGTATGAATAGGTTAAGTCAATTGAAAAGCCTGATAAGGGCAAACTTGACCGGCTCTGTGCGGAAGGATGCGCCCGGCATCGACTCAAGCTTCACAAACACCTGGGGAATGAGGAGTGGTGAAGAAGTGGAGGGGGGAGTGGAGAGGAGTGAAGATGGGTGCAGGAGTAGATAGAGGCACCACAGGACCGGATCTGTGCGGAAGCATGCATCTGGCATCGACTAACGTTTCACAAACACCTGGGGAATGACGGGTGGGAAGGGGTATGCATTGGTTGAGCGAATCCAAGTGGTTGAAAAGGGCAACCTTGACTGGCTCTGTGCCAAAGGATGCATCGGGCGACGGGCATGGACTCAAACGCCCTACTTTTGAGGCACCTCAAAAATAGCGCGCAAGGGATGAGTGACAAACACCCTACCAGCTGGAGAGGGGCGACGAAGGCCTTGAACTTCTGAGGCGAGTCCTCCATGAAGAGGAGGCGTGTGAGCGTGAAGTAGAATATGGTGCGGTTGCGCGTACTGCTCGGCTCGTCCAAGAATGGAAAGTGCTCGCTCTGCCAATCACAGCAGGACACGAGGCAGGATGGAGAAGAGGCGAGAAGGCGTGACGTCAGAAACAAAAGTCCCCAAGACGAGCGTGAAAGGGGGTTGCTGAGAGGCGTAACACGACTTGCTTATCAGCTCAAATGACACCCACGAGCTGTCTAGATTGATACTGGCGGGATGCAGTGAGATGGCATACTGAAAACCACTTCACAGACTGAAGTCCGTGGGGGACTCAACAGTTCTCAAACAAAACCTGATCGAAGAAAGGTCGGCCACAATCGCCACACAACACCCCTTTCTCTGACCTTTCGTGTGGAGTCTACCCGCTGAAAGGGGGCGGGTAGACGAAGCAGGTGTTGTGTGGCGATTGTGATCAAAGAAAGGTCACACAGCACCCCTTCCTCCGACCCCACCCACTTCGTCTACCCGCCCCCTCCCCCCCCACCCCCCTCGTCCTGAAATCACTCAACAGCTCACCGTGTGGTTTGCAAGGACGAAATTGACAGAGTCCAGTTTCAATAGCAACTTGCCGCTCATGTAGCTGGGAGAGGGGGGATAGGGGGATATGGAGGGGGTGAGCGAGAGGGAGGAAGGATTTTAAAAGAACGGCATAAGATTAGCGAGGGATTGGGAGGAAAGCAATTGTGGTTGGGGTGCAGAGGGCGTGGGGGTTGAGAGGGAGGAATGTGAGGGCGAGAGGGAAGGGGTTGAATGTGGAACACGAGGGTGGGGAGGTGATCAAAACCGAGATTGCAGAATTACCAACTCCCCTTCTAACCCTTGTAACACTAACCCCCTCATCACTCTTAAATTCTAAGCCTCCGAGCTGACTTTTGAGTCGACTCAAAAGTCAACCCAGAATTGCAGAATTACCAACTCCCCTTCTAACCCTGGTAACTCTCTAAACCCTTCCTAACCATAATTTATAACCCTCCGAGAGCTCACCCTCCTGCAAGCTCTTGGAACAGGTTCAGTGTTTGCTCGATGACATCCTCGCTCTGACAACGGGAGGAGAGGGGAGAGGGGTGAGGAGAGGTTAGGGAAGAACACATTAGGGAAGAATGGGGGTGCAAGGAGGAGGGGCACAAGCTCTTGGAACAGGTTCAGTGTTCGCTCGATGACGACGGTTAAGGAGAGGGCAGAGGAGAGATTACAGGAATCGGAGAGGTTAGGGAAGAATGGGGACGCAACAAGAGGCGTCAGACATGGAAAGGAGAGGGAAGGCAAGGGAAGAGAATAATGCGTGATCAGCAAAACTTCTAGCTTGCGACTGAAAGGAGAAGCAGCACATTCAAACCTTGGTGCACAGTAGCACATGCAAGACTTGAAGGGGCACACACACCTTGGTGTAGCACTTGGGGTTGGTGGCAGTCTTGGCCACAAAGACGTTCGGCACCATGAGATGGTCTTGCCATCGCCTGTTCTAACTCACCTAGGCCTAACAACATGAATACCTTGGTGTAGCATGAGTTGAATAGACGGGAAAAAACGGGCGCACCTTGGTGTAGCACTTGAGGTTGGTGGCAATCTTGGCCACAATGACGTTCAGCACCATGAGATGGTCTTGCAACCCCAACAAGTCTGCTAGGCGCGCGTAGAGGATCTGGAAGCAGACGAGCAGAGGGGAGAAAATGAGAACGAGGACACCCTGCATGACGTTGTGTTGCGCACCATGAGACGGATACTGCTATTGAGGCGCCTCAAAAGAAGCCACCTCAAACGCTCTAGAGGCGCCTCAAAAGAAGCCGCCTCAAATGCTCTAGAGGCGCGTCAAAAGAGGCCGCCTCAAACGCTTTAGAGGCGCCTCAAACGTTTTAGAGGCGCCTCAAAAGAGGCCGCCTCAAACGCTTTAGAGGCGCCTCAAAAGAGGCTGCCTCAAACGCTCTAGAGGCGCTTCAAAAGCGGGGAGAAAATGAAAACGAGGACACCCTGCATGAAGTTGCATTGCGCACCATGAGACGGCCCTGCAAAGCAACCCCAACAAGTCTGCTAGGCGATTGGCCAGGCAGATTATCTGCTTTACGAGTGTCAGATCCACGACTAAAGCTTGTCACCGTGTCACCTCTGCTATCACATGGTCAACGGTGCGCCGAGGCACAGGCCATTAGCATGGCCTGGTCGCCCACGTGATTGTCAGCTGCTGACAGTTGTGCTACCTGTGCGTCTAGGGTCTAGAGTCAAGGCAACTCATGTGAGCACCCAGACAAGTCACCTTCGCCCCCAGGCAGGGCTGGATGTCCACCTTGGAGGCGTGCATGGCCTGGTCGCCCACGTAGACGCGGCGAAAGTTCTGGAAGAAGGCGAGTACCGCGAGGTCCAGGCGCTGCTTGCTGCGCTCCACGTAGCGCTGAGGTGGTGCAAGGAAAGGGAGGTACAAAGCAAGGATAGATGGAGAAGGGGGAGTGATGGGTAAGTTCTGGAGGAAGAAGAGCACCGCGAGGTCCAGGCGCTGCTCGCTGCGCTCTGGCTCCGCGTAGCGCTAAGGGGGAGGCGGGAGGGGGGGGGGGGGGGGGGGGGAGGAGATGATGGGAATGGGAAGGAAAGCAACGGCACGGAAAGACAAATCAGGGGATGGACGGGAAAGGGGTGGACGGCGCGCAATGGTAAGCTCTGGACGGAGGAGCCCACTGTGCGAGGGCCATTGCTTGCTACCTGTAATCTGATCTGATCATGCATGCAATGCAACGTTTCTGCCAACCAGGCACTCGTCCTCCTATGTATGCATGCGTGCTATGCGATGTGAAAGTCGCACCAAAACCTCACCTGTGCGTGTAGCCCTGTGTCCGTGACTTGGATGAGTTGGAACACTCGCGCTGCTAGCTCCCCGTCGATCAGCTCCTGGGACTCGCCACTGCCAGAATCAAAGGAGTTGAGTGAGTGAGAGTGAGTGAGTGAGTGAGCGAGCGAGTGAGCGAGTGAGTGAGCAGGGGAGTGAGTGAGTGAGTGACAGCTTTTGAGTCAGAAAGAGGGACACGAATGGAACAGGTTACCAGGTTACAGGTTACAGGTTACAGGACCTGAAAAAGAGCATCCACTCAACTCCTCATGAGCAATATTTTGTTGGAGCCTAGAAAAATTTGGCTCAATATTTGGGGTTTCGGCTACAGGGCTCATGGATTGGCGTCTTGGGGACAACTAACTTACGTGCTGCAGCGGAGCCGGCCTCTGACGATGGCGCCTATGATGTGCACAGTGCACCATCCACCCAGGTCAGCTGGCTCTCCTCCATCACTGGACTTGTCACCTGCTAATGCCTAGGGATTGTCCGCATATACGCTAGAGCTTAGGGTCAACTTACGTGCTGGAGCTGAGCCGCCCTCTGACAATGGCGCCTATGATGTGCACGATCCAGGTCAGCTGGCTCTCCATCACCTGTAGCGCCGCCTGGCTGCTGCTGCTCGCCGCTACAGCCGGCTGCCACCGAGCTGCTTCCTGGGATGATGGGCGGGGGGGTTAGAGGGGTGAACAAATGTGGGAATGGTGGAAAATGATTTGGGTGGGTAAAAAGGGTGGGGGGAGGTTTTAAGTGAGAATACGGCTGAAAGGTATTTCCTATCTCGAGAGGAGGGGAGGGAAAACACTAAGGCACATATTGGGCGGAGTTTTTTTTTTTTTTTTGGTTTTTTGTTTTTTTACGCTGTGTCGGTCAGACTTACAGTGTATGATTGCATGACAGGCTCTAAATGGCTGATGATGAACTTGCTGGTGCGGTCGAACTGCAGGGAAGACACACAGGAAGAGGGAGACGGACACAAAGAGAAATGCACACAGGAGAGGGGACAAGAAGAAAGCGTCTAGTTGCAAAGGATCAACCCACACAAAGACCATAGACGCGTGCAATGAAGCACACACACGCACAGCTGAAGGGGCAGCAAAACAGACACAGCCGAAGAGACCGCAGCACATGCCCACTGGAACCTGCGGAGGCACAGGGGGGAGGTTGTCAAGCTGATCCTGTAGCTGCTCGTCGTTGCGTGGGAGCGGAAGCACACACACGCCGGACAAGACAGCAGCCAGCACACAAGCGCACCTGACTGAGAGACCGCAGCAGATGCGCACCTGGAACCGGCAGAGGTACGGGAGGTTGTCGAGCTGATCTTATAGCTGGCCCTGTGGCTGGTCCTTGGTGAGTAGAAACGCAAGCACACACACGCCCAAGACAGCAGCAGACGCGCGCACACACACACACACGCACACACACACACACACACACACACACACACACACACACACACGCACGCACGCACGCACGCACGCACGCACGCACGCACGCACGCACGCACGCACGCACGCACGCACACACACACACACACACACACACACACACCGGACGAGATAGCAGCACACAAACGCACCTGGAACCGGCAGAGGTAGGGGAGGTTGTCGAGCTGATCTTGTAGCTGCTCGTCATTGTCCAGCGGGTCCTCTGATAGGTTGTTCTGAAGCACAGCCTATAAGGGGGATGGACGGAAGGCAGAGGAAAATGGAGGGTAAATTGACAGCAGATGAACAGCCTTCAGCATTGTGCACTAGGCATCACCATAGACCATGCACCATACCCCATGCACTACCATGCAACATGCACCATGCAACCAAAGGGCAAACCTGGATGGAGTCGAGCTGTGATGTGATGTACGCCTCTGTGATCTGAGGGGCGAAATTGCCCAGCAGGCTGGGGCAGTCGCTCCTAGCACCACGCACCAAATTTTCACTATGACACTATGCACCATGTACCATGCACCACGCACCATGCACCATGCACCATGCACCATGCACCATGCACCATGTACCATGTACCATGCACCACGCACCATGCACCATGTACCACGCACCATGCACCATGTACCACGCACCATGCACCATGTACCACGCACCAGGCACCATGTACCATGCACCACGCACCATGCACCATGCACCATGCGCCACAAAAGTAAGCCACCACCAACCTGCACAGAATCAAGTCGGGATGTGATGTACGCCTCTGTGATCTGCGGCACCAAGTTGTCAACCAGGCTCGGGCACTCACTCCCAGCATGCATGCATCATGCACCACTACCATGCAGCACTCTACCGAAGGGCGAATGCCAACCTGGACAGAATCAAGTCGGGATGTGATGTACGCCTCTGTGATCTGCGGCACGAAGTTGTCAAGCAGGCTGGGGCAGTCGCTCTTGGTGTACGCCATGGAGGACACCAGGCGCGACCAGAGGCCCAGTAGGAAGTACACACTGCCACTCGCCCACTGGTTGAGGGGGACGGGGAGTGAGAGCGGGGGCGCACAAATAACAGGTCAGGGTGACTAGTCACTAGACCTAGTTGTCAGGCAGGCTGGGGCAGTCGCTCTTGGTGGGGCCATGGAGGTTACGAGACGCGTCCAGAGGCCCAATAGGAAGTACACCCTGCCACTCGCCCAATGGTTGCGGGAGAGAGGGGAAGAAGCGGGGGTTCGAGGAGAATAAACGAGAGAAAAATGGTCAGCTCACCTGCCTGCAATGACTCCAGTGCAGTGCAGAGGTCTGATTATTGAGGCGCCTCAGAAATCACCTGAGTCGACTAAGAAATCACCTGAGGCGCCTAAAAAATCACCTAATCAACTGCCTGCCATGACTCCAGTGCAGTGGTCTGTCTGATGGAGTCTAGTTTTGAGGCGCCTCAAAACTAGACTCCTATCACACGGTTTTTGAGGCGCCTCAAAACTAGACTCCTATCACGCGGTTTTTGAGGCGCCTCAAAACTAGACTCCTATCACGCGGTTTTTGAGGCGCCTCAAAACTAGACTCCTATCACGCGGTTTTTGAGGCGCCTCAAAACTTGCCTGCCATGACTCCAGTGCAGTGGTCTGACTGATGGTCCGCCCTTTCGATTGCAGCAATGCCATGGCGGAATGCACGCTGCTGCCTGCAGCACCTGCTAGCACTGTAGCGACGTGACTGCTACCCCACCCAACTGCCATGACTGCAGGGATGTGATGGTAAACTCAGCCACCAGCTGCACCAACTCCACGTTCTTATCCGCAATCACCAGCTCCTCCAGCTGATCGTAGTTGGTCTCCCAATGCCTCCTCATTCCCCAGTCCCGTTAGCTGGTACCTGGTAACTGGTACCTCGTAACTGGTACCTCGTAACTGGTACCTCGTAACTGGTAACACTCAACCCACCTGCCAGGACTGGAGCGAGGTGATTGTGAATTCAGCCACCAGCTGCACCCACTCCGCGTAGTTATCCGCATTCACCAGCTCCGCCAGCTGGTAGTTCGTCTTGAGCCGCCCCAGCAGGCGGCAGTACTCGTGGTAGTTCTCGTGCTCCGACAGGCCCTGCTTGGAGCGCAGGATCTCTCTCGATCCGTTCACGAGGTGCGAGAGGAACTTGAGGCGCTCGGCCTCTCCTGTGAAGAGAGAGCGGCGGACCGAAGCCAGCCGGACCAGGCACTCCAGGGCCTATGGCGTGGGCAGGGACAGGGGAAACAAAAAGAAAGGAGGAGAGGGGAGAGAGGGAAAGGGTGGGGCTTGGTTGGGTTGCTAGCTGTGGTAGTTAATCTTGAGCCGCCCCAGCAGGCGGCAGTACTCGTGGTAGTTCTCATGCTCCGACAGGCCCTGCTTGGAGCGCAGGATCTCTCTCGATCCGTTCACGAGGTGCAAGAGGAACTTGAGGCCCTCCGCCTCTCCTGTGAAGAGAGAGCGGCGGACCGAAGCCAAACGGACGAGGCACTCGCGGAGTGGGCAGAATATAGCAGAAAAAAATCACGAGGAGAGATTGAGGGGAAGGGAGGGAAGGATGGCTGGGGATGGGCCGTGTTGGGGGTTGTGGCGGTAATTCTCGTGCTCCGAGAGGCCCTGCTTGGAGCACAGGATCTCCCGCATGAGGTGCGAGAGGAACTTGAGCCGTTCAGCTTCTCCTGTGAAAAGAAAGCGGCAGACTGAGGCCAGTTGCACCAAGCACTCCAGGGCTTGAGGTATGAGAAGAGACGAGACAAAGGGAAAGTGGGGGGCAGAGGGAGTGGAGGGTGGAATTTACCAGGACGAGCTGAAGACAGAGCACCGCTGAGAGGCCAGCGGCGGCACCTGGCATTCACGGTGAGGGCCTACGTGAGTGAGGGCCTGAGCCCTCTCACCCACCTTCGGTTGCAGGTGAGGGGCAGGGGCAGCTCAGCCCCTCACCTAGCAGCCTCTAAGCTAGGGGTTTACCTGCTAGGTGGCCGCATAGTCGTCAAAGAAGAGCTGCATCGTGCCCACGCCCTCCTCTCTCCTCTCACCTCTCACATCTCGCTTTTCAATTCGCATGGGGCTCACTTGGCTGGAGAGCGGGGGCTTGGTGGCGGCATAATAGTCAAAGAAGAGCTGCATGGTGCCCGCGTCCTCCAGCACTGCCCGCCACGAGGACGGCTCACCTAGTGTTGGAAAAGAGCGGTGGAGAGCGGCGCACCTGGTTGGAGAGCGGTGGCTTGGTGGCAGCATAGTAGTCAAAGAAGAGCTGCATGGTGCTTGTGTCCTCCAGCACTGCCCGCCACGAGGAAGGCACCTGGATAGTTCCCAGCTCCTCTGAGCTCTCGTCCAAGGACGTCCCCACGAAGTCAAAGGACAGGCAGCGCAGCGCCAGGGACACTGCCTCAGCCCTTAGCTTGTCGTCAGCTGGAGAAAAAACAGCAGGGGTTGAGAGGGTAGAGGGTAGAGGGTAAGGGTTCAAGGTTCAGGGTTGAGGATTGAGGGTTGAGGGTTGATTTTTGGGGAGTGATAAGGGGGAAGGAAGGAGTAGGGATGCAGGGAAGGGGACGTTAAAGGGCAGGCACCCCCGCAGCTCCTCTGAGCTCTCATTCAGAGACTGGCTGTTGAACTAAAGAAGAAGCACCAGTCTGTGCAGGACTGGATCAGCTTGATTCACGACGCACGCACCTATCACTAAGGCGCCTTAGCAAAAGTGCTAAAACGCCTTAAACAAGAGGGTCCACTGTCTGATGGAGGTGAGTGAGACCTAAGTTGCACTAAACGCGTATGGCGTTTGATACGCTAGCGTATAAACGCTAGCGTATACACGCTATACGCTTTTTTGGTGCCACGTATACACTAGGTATACGCTTGTCCGGACAGGCGAAAACTTCCCTCCGGGCAGGGAAAAAAACCGTGTATAGGGAGGGGGGAAAGGGGGAATGTGGTGCAGGCCATAGTTTTTAATAGCAGCATGAACCAGAGAACATAGTTAAGGCTTTGAGGCATAAATAACCGCCATGTCAAGGTTTTATCCATGTCGACATGGCGCTGCCTAAAAAACGAGGCGACGTGGCGCTCCCTAAGCTAAGATTCTAGCTTAGTCTGCCGCCTAATTCGGCTGGTAAGTTACGCTGCGCAATCTGTTTTAGGTTTAGCGCGTTCAGTGGTAGAGGTAGGCAGAGCACATTTGACGTTTGGTTGGGTTTGGTAGATGCCTCGGGATGCAGTGCGGTTGGGGGGGCAGATTGGTTGGAAGTTGGATTTGGGCAAAAAATTGGGATCTCCACATTTCGCGATAGTGTGGCTGGCTTCGCCATGTCGCGATGTGGCGATCGATTCTTTTTTTCCCGACGGGCTGCCCCCGAAATTTCTGCCGAGCGTATAGCGTTTATACGCTCGTATAGCGTATAGCGTATATACGCTGCGTATATACGATATACGCTGCGGATTCAGAGCGTTTAGTGCAACTTAGAGTGAGACGACGGCGCCAAGTGCCCGGTCTCGGAAGAATTCGAGTCATTACGCGGCAAGAGAGCACTCACCGTCTGCTTTTGAGTCGACTCAAAAGACGACGGCACCAAGTGCCCGGTCTCGGAAGAACTTGAGACATTACGCGGCAAGAGAGCACTCACCGTCTGACTGCAGCTGTCGGAGAGAGGTGAGGGAGATCTGGAAGATAGCGAAGAGTGCCAAGCGAGGGAGGGCCAAGTGAGGGAGCGCCAAGTCACGCCACACGTGTCAAGACGCATTGCGTTCACTACCAGGCACTCACCGTCTGACTGCAGCTGTCGGAGGGAGGTGAGGGAGATCTGGAAGATGGCAAAGAGAGCCAGGTCTCGAAAGGAGCAGGCTGTCTTGCGGTGGAAGGTCAGCGACCGGCCTGGGCTAGGCTGCGAGCAAGCAGGTAGGCAAGGGAAGACGGAAGTGGGGGTTGGGAGGGAGGGAAGGGGAAAGAATGGAGGGTTGGGGGAATCATAGCGGGGGTGTTGGGGGAAACACGCCCGGACTAGGTTCGGTGAGCGAGGGCCTGGATTAGGTTGCAAAACACGGCAGCTTGTTTGCATGGAAAGACAAAGAGCAAGGTGAATTCGAAGGTGAGGGAACATGCTGCAACTTGCAATACTTCAGGCACTGCTCGAGACTACCGGTGGCACTTGTCCCTTGCCCAAAAAGGCTGCCGATAACTGTAAAAACCCTTCGCATCTAAGACTCATCGGTGCAGTGCACCTTTGCCTTCTCCGATTCTTGAGACGACATGAGAAAGAAGTGCTCTGCCACGCACGCACCCGACCACCCAGCCAGCCACGCACGCACGCACGCACTCACGCACTCACGCACTCACTCACGCACTCACGCACGCACGCATGCACCCACCCAGCCACGCACGCACCTGGTTCATTTCTGCCACCAGTTGGTTGAAGATTTTGAGCCCGAGAAAGAAATGCTCTGCCGTGCCCTGCATGCAGTGAAATGCATCAGGGAGGGACACCATCCCATGTGAAGCGCGGAGAGAAAACATTCAAGGAAATGATGATGATGATGATGATGATGATGATGATGATGATGATGATGATGATGATGATGATGATGATGATGATGATGATGATGATGATGATGATGATGATGATGATGATGATGATGATGATGATGATGATGATGATGATGATGATGATGATGATGATGATGATGATGATGATGCTGCTGCAGGCAGATAATTTTGAGTCGACTCGAAACGAAATTACCATCACACGATGATGCAGGCAGATCATTTAGAGCCATTCAATCAAATGCCAAAAGCATGTCTCATTCTTGTTGAAAGCGAAAGCTCCAACAGAACTCGTTGCAAGCGAATTCTTCTGCACATTCCATTGAATGGCATGCACCTGTGCGAGGCACTTGGTGCATTCTGAACCGACTATTCTTGAGAAGTTTCTTTATGCAAGGACGCGCCTCTAAATTACAGGCTGTAGTGGCCTCCATGAAGGAACTTGGTGCATTCGTCCACGATGTCTCTGAACCGCTCGTCATCGTACCACCCAAGTTCGAAGCCTCGGCACAGCAGCTGCGCTAGAGACTGTCTGTGCATGACACATTTACGCAGCGTGTATGGAGAGATACACCAGTATAGGCACAGGTGTATTTTGAGTCGACTCAAAATACATATGGACTTATACACCAGTATAGGCACACACCCACACCTGAGCGAGGAACTTGGTGCATTCGTCAACAATGTCTCTGAACCGCTCGTCATCGTACCACCCGAGCTTGGAGATCCGGCACAGCAGCTGCACTAGAGACCGTGCACGACACATCTACACTGTATGTATACACACCTGGGATATATCAGTATAGGCAAGCACGCACCTGAGCGAGGAACTTGGTGCATTCGTCCACGATGGCCCTGAACCGCTCGTCATCGTACCACCCCAGCTTGAAGCCTCGGCACAGCAGGTGCACCAGAGACCATTGGTTCAGACGTTTCAAGCATTTGTAATCAATCACACAGACACGCGCACCTGTAATCAATCACATACATACGCACCTGAGCGAGGAACTTGGTGCATTCGTCCACGATGTCTCGGAACCGCTCGTCGTCGTACCACCCGAGCTTGGAAATCCGGCACAGCAGCTGCACCAGAGACGCCGTCACAAAGGACTGCGCCTTGGGACCCTTGGTGGCCAGGAAGGAGACTATGTAGTTGCCTGCAGGGAACGCGTGCAAGCAGGTCAGGAGGATAATAGAGAGAGAGGGGGAGCACTTGTGAGGGAAAGAGGCACAGCAGCTGCACCAGAGACGCCGTCACAAAGGACTGCGCCTTGGGACCCGTGGTCGCCAGGAAGGCGACTAAGTACTTGCCTGCAGCAGGGAGACCGCATGTACAAGAAAAGAGGGCTCGCATCCGGAACCTTTAGCGAAACCTCAAAGGTAGTGCGTAATGACCCGCCTATCTCGAGGCTATGGAAAACCAAGCGGCAATATCGGAGGTTGGTGCAGATTGGAGTCTAGTTTTGAGGCGCCTCAAAACTAATATCGGAGGTTGGTGCAGATAGGAGCCTAATTTTGAGGCGCCTCCAAACTAATATCGGAGGTTGGTGCAGATAGGAGCCTAATTTTGAGGCGCCTCCAAACTAATATCGGAGTTTGGTGCAGGTAGGAGCCTAATTTTGAGGCGCTCCAAACTAATATCGGCGTTTGGTGCAGAACGAACGCACCGCAGCAACGCATGAAAACTCGAGGGCTTCCACTAGGAATCAGAACGTCATTATTGAGGCGCCTCAAAACTAGGAATCAGAGCGTCATTATGGTGCATGAGTGCCCGCCCCGAGGAGCATTACCGTTCTTCTGATAAAAGAATTCCGAACACAGAATCTACTGAATGTATTCCCTGCATGGACGATCGATCTTACGTATATCGAGTCGCAGTTGCACGGGCAGCGTGTGGTCCGTGACCTGCTTCACGAGGCTGGAGCTCGCGAGCACTTGCGCGTAGGGTGAGGAGGAGTTATCGAGGATGTATTGGCACTGAGAGATGTACTCGGTGCTCGTCGAGAAGCACAGCAAGGTTTGCTCCGCGTGCGACCGCTCCGCCGGATCCTGCGAGTTGTACAGCCGCTCGCATAGGCCCTCCAGCTGTGCGAGGCTCTCCATCGCCTCGCTTCGATACAGTCACCGACCTTACAATCGCCGACACTACAATCACCGACCCTATAATCAACGACCCTGTAATCACCAGCCCTAGAATCACTCGATTCTGCAAGCACTGATCGTACGATCGCCGCTAACCAGGAATGCCGGATGCGACGTCTCCTTTCCTACAATAACAAGCTACAGTGCGATGGAATGAACCGCGGTCTAAGGACTAAACACAGTCCGCATCCTGGCGAATCGACGGGTCGAGACTTAAAGTCTGGCTGGTAGAGAGATTAACTCGAACCCGAGAGTGATTGGCTGAAGCAGCTTCACGAACCCCGCGAAGCCACGAATCTCCCACCTCACGCAACCGGATACTCGACTAAAGCATCAGCGTCTGCGATCTGGAATCGTTAGACAGGTCTCGAACTACCTCGACTGAACACGGGGTAAGATCCGCCTGGCCAGGCTCTTGCCTAGTACAGAGCGCTACGGCTGCGGAAACTACGCCAGGCTGACAGTAGCCAGGCTGAGGTAACAAAAGAATCCCTATCTGTTCCGAATGCTGGGTTGGGATTCCATATCTAGTGCTGGGCCATAGGGATTGCTGTATGATTCGCACGCAGTGGATTTTGAACTACACTGGCAAGGTGAGGAACGCATCTCCTGGCGGGAATGGCAAATACCGCAGCCAAGGCAGGAGAGGGCTCTCGGGGAAACCAGGCCAGTGAGCCAAATGCTGCTGCCTCCTTGGCGAGAGAGATTTGCTTCAGCCGTGGGAGCGTTCCAGAGGCTACGGAGTGGCGAAAGCGTGAGATTTTGGTGACACGTTTCGCAGATAGTTCGCGCCAGCAATAGTGAGCTTGCGAGTGATGCCAGTAGATAGATAACAGATGACCTTATCAGCATAGAATGTGCAACAGAAACCGAGCTTATATCCAAGGATTGCTCCTTTTCTTGGAAGATTCTTTATAGGAAGACTACAGAAATGACATACATGCGAAAGGAGCCCCTCATATAACTGGAGCAACACGCACTCAAAAAGAGGGCAACTTGCAACGCAACAACCCAAGAGCCTACCAACAGTCGCAACCAACCACCTTGAAGATGGTGGAAAAAAGGCAAATGAGTACTCGTGGCCAGCAGAAGCACACGACATGACTCGTGGGAAAAACCACACATCACTATCAGTACCGGTAACAGGAAATCCCTCAAGCATTCACAATTGAGCTGAGCATCTGCAATCAAGAGAGGGGGCACACAGGTGAAATCAAATTAGGGAACCGTGGTGAAACACAGGCACAGAATTATCGCGGTGAAACACTGGCACAGAATTATCGCAAGTATGAAACGGAAAGGAAAAAAGTATGACAACTGCGAACTTATACCTCCATCTCATCCTGAATCGCTTGGAGCATTTCTGACTCCAAGAAGCTCGCTGGCATATCCACAAACATGCCATTGTTGGAGAGAGACGAGAGCATCGACGGGTCACTCTGGAACTCAGCAGCTGCCAGGGGCTTCTGATCGTCGAAGGCGGTCAAAGGAAACTCGGAAATACGGCCATTGCCGGAAACCACAGCCTCAAGTGACCCGCTTGAGACAAACGCGTCAAGTGTCTGCTGAGGCTGATTCTGACAGTCGATCGAGTTATGATTGGCCGTTTGCCTGTCGTGGCTGGTGGTTCGAGCTGAGGAGAACGCCTCGAGCATCACGTCAGGTCGCTGGAAAGTCACTTGCTGCAGTCCCTGCTCCTGCTGAACCTCCTGCTGCTGCTGTGTCATCTCAGGCTGATTCTCATGAAAAGATTGCTGCTGCTGCTGCTGCTGCTGCAACTGGATCAGAGCCTGCTGCTGGAACTGGTATGCCACCTGTTCCTGCTGGACCTGCATCTTTTGAAGCGACGCTTGCTGAAGACATCTGGCATTGCCCTGCGGCCTCCAGGTGTGGGTTGAGGGAGCTGGAGCAGCAGCGGCGGCTGCAGCACCCGGCGCTGCTGCTACCATGGAAGCCAGGTGATGATTGGAGGAAGAGGAGGAGTTGAGAAGAGCGGTGAAGGACGAGGTGGGGATAGCAGCAAAAGCGTCACCTGCACAGATGCCCGCAGCACCTGCTCTATCCCCACCACCCTCCACTCCGCCACCTCCGCCTGCGAACGCGCGGCCACTCACAGCAGTCCCCACGGGAAGAGCAGTGGAAGGCACAACAGAATCAGCTAAAGCACCAGCGGCGGTACCGGCAGCAGGGGCAGCAGGAGACCCAGTGCAGACTGAGCTGACGTCGAAGGAGGGCATGCGCGCGACTGAAGCAAGGCGGCCACTGCCATACGCTCCATCAGCAGCATCAGATTTACCCAGCGGCGACACGCAGGCGCCAGTCGAGGAAAGAGAGGACCGCCGTGCGTACATTGGCTCGCTGGCAGCAGCGCCAGCAGCAGAAAATGTTGCGGCGTTGCCTGACGAAGAGGTACAGCCGGAGGGAGCAGAGGAGTGAGGCGGGGAGCCGACAGCAGCTGGAGCGGATGCTGCTGCGGTGAGAGAAGACGAGGACGGCGACTTGGCGAGTTTCCGCACGTTGGCGAGGAGGGGGAGATGGGCGACTGATGCGAAGTCCGGCTGCTGAGTGAGGCGGAGGGCTTGAGCGAGGAGCGAGCCGGGCTGGAGAGCCAAGCGGGACCTGGTGGAGCGCAGAACAGGATCAGCAGATGCAGACGACACAATTCGTTCAGAACACAGGATTAAGAAGAAGAAAAAGGGGTCTGAGGTCACATATCCGGGAAACAGAGGAAAACGCGAAGGTGAAAAATGCTTTGATCCGCGCTGTGTTATCAGCAGGCGATACTCACTTGAGGTTTGCAAGCTGCGTGGACATGCTGAGAGGCGTCGACGAATTGAGTGACGGCATCTGGAGTAGCGGAACTCCTGAGAAATTCCCACTTCCCATAGCCATGTTCGAAGCATTAAGACCGGACTGAACGGAGTAAGGGTAGTCAGCAAGTGCCTGATGCAACTGCTGCTGCTGCTGGATCAGGGAAACAGGACTTCCGAGAACGGTCGGGGATGCGATAGCAGAAGGAGCATTGAAGGCCGCGGCCGCGGCAGCGATGGCGGAAGTGCTGGTGGGACTTCCGCTCTTGAAGGAGAACCGCGAGTGGCTGTTGAGGCCGAGGCCGCTGCCGCTTACAGCCTGCAGGAAACACACGGTTCGGCAAAAAGTCGCACGCGGAACGTGTTAGCTTTCGACGGAAAGGGTGAAAAGGAATGTTCGGAGAGCTGCGACGTTACGAAACGGGGGACTAACGAAATAGATTGCGTACGCCGCAGTCGCAACGGCGTACTGTGCTTACCGGAAGCTGCAGTTGGCTCGAGAAGGCAGGAGTTGCGGAGGAGCTCGCCGCGATCTGATTGTCCTGATTGCTAGGCTCGGGTGCGACGACGGACTCCTTGGCCCGGTGCAGCAGATGCGAGAGGCTCCGCTTGTCCTTAATGCACCGCCTGCACGCGATCAAACAAAAACGAGGACAGAATAATTAGACACATCAACCGTCGTAATTACTACGCCGCGTGAAACACTGCGGACCGGACGGGTCAATACGAGGAGCACTCTGCATAAATGTCGTACTTCTTGAGGAGGATGAAGCGGTTGCAGCAGGCCTTCTGGTCGCGGAGCGGCAGTGCGCCACTAGCCTGGAGCGAGCCCCAGTTGCGTGTGCCATGGCGAGCAACGTGCTGGAGCAGAATCAGGTCCTCCTGGGAGACGGAGAAAATCAGAAATCGAGAAATCGAGGGGGTGAACAAAACATTTCCCTAGGGTTGGAAATTTCCGAGGGAGGGAAAATCTTGAGGACGAATTGGAGATGAGATGGATGAGTTGTCCGATAAGACTCGTTACAAGCCAGCCCTGCATATTTTGGAAGATTATCTCCAACCAAGCAAGGTAGCCCGAGGGAGATAGATCAGAGCCCAAGCACCCACAAAAAACCCATCGAGCACAACCTCCGCCAGGACCTAACAGGGATCTCACACCCATCAAGTGTCACAATTTGAATTATTGTCTACTAATACCGATAGGACCGGCGGTTGCGAGGTAGATACTCAGATAGTATCGGCTCATGCTTTCGGACTTAGTTACCTGAGGCGACCAATTCGGGCGCGTGCGATGACCGCCAAGAAAGATCATTCCCGCGTCCATCGCGTCGTCGCCTTGCGACGTCGGAGCGTCGCAACCATCGGTAGCGAACGTCGTGCCCAACGCAGACGACGACGACGACTTCAATGGGGGTAGGTCCGTAGGTTGAGAGATCTGGGAATATTTCATCTGCGAAAAGGGTATCGGGAATAGTACACGAGAAACAGAATTAGAAATCCCGCCGTACATTTGCGAAGCCACCGTGACCCGCTGGACGAACGACACTGGAAACGGCGAAACTCCGGGAACGCTTCGATATTCACGGCGAATGCTAAGGACGAGAAATCGCGCGACGGTGACTCACCTGCGCATGAAGCGACGACGACCATTGATACTGAAGAGTGAGCTTCGGCAGGTTCTGCGCAGCTTGATGATCCATGGTGAGTAGACTCGGAAAAGAGAGTCGTCGGGATCGACTGACGAACACGAAATGACGCACGCGACGTCTCGACGACAGCGGTGAGTGAGCTTGTTGTGAAGCAGAGAGGCTTGGAGTCAATCAAAGAGTTGCACGTCCTTCAACGGAGAAGAGAAACCGAAGTATGGAGGCAGAGCCACAGATCAGAGCGGGAATACTCTGGTACAAGCACGAGCTCGGACTTGGGAGATTTGGATAGCGGCCGCCGTTTGTTCCCCACAATCACGAGGTCGCGAAAATAGGCTCAGGTTTTGGTCGGTTGTTTGTCCTCGAAGTTCTTCACGAAGAGGTGTAGGCACGGCGGGAGAGCCGTGAAAAAACGAGTGGCGATCAAATGAGCAGTAGCAAAGGCGGTTTTTATAAAACGCGCACGAGAACTGTTTTCTTGTACTGTGGAGAAGACCAGGAGGGCTTCGCCGTTCAAAGTACAAAAGGGACGTTACGTAGGTATTCCGCAGAAAGACAGGAAATGCAGTGGGAAAAGGACGACGAAAACAGCTGCGCAGCAACGAGCGTGAAATGGAGGGTGCAAGGTGACGAATTAGCTTGTCGGAAAGGAAGGTGATGGAGGAGAGAGAGGATGTGGAAGTCGTGAGCCGAGGGCTGGAACGGGCGTCGACAGATGAGGCAAAAACAAATCGGGATTGTCGGAAAAGGCGTCACCGAAGAGATGATATACAGGACGCAAAGCACGAATACATCGTCCACAACGTCGGAAAAGGTAGTGGTGGTGCAAATATCAAGACAGGGTTGGGGGGGTGGGGGAGAGGGGGGAAAGCCTTTTGGGGGGGTGGGAAGAGGGGGGGGGGGAGGGGGTGGGGGGGGGGGGGGGGACGATCTGAGGGGAGGGAGGCAGAAAGAACGTAAGTTGAGAGGTGGCGGAACAACCCCCCATCAAAAAGTTCAGCGTCACTGAAGGATACTCGAGATGAGAGAAGGACGGGGGTGAAGGCGGGCGAGATGGGTGAGGCGGAGGTAAAGGCGCATTCCCTGCTCGGGGCAAACTTTTTAGGGGGCATCGCTTATACGGCCGAGATCGTCCAATCTGAGCCTGGATCATCCAGGCCGTATAACTAATGGCCCGAAGCACTGCCTCGAAGTTTGCCCCAGCGCGGAGTACCCGTAGTGTTTGGGCGGGCGAATAGGATTGAGGGCAGCATTTGTTCCGAGAAGTGAAACGCCCCAAGGCCACCAAGGTGGAAGTATTGGGCGGGTGAAAGCGCGTGTGGTGTGGGGTGGGGAAGACCTAGGAAAGGAAAGCGCCAGGGCAGGATTCATCCCGAGGAAAAAGCCAGTTCCGCCCAAGGGCCCTGGTGTTGGGGAATGGGCTCTGCCAACGCGGCAAATTCGTAGACGGGTGGCGGAGAATGGATGAAAAGGGAAAATGAAGCAAGGGGTGGGATGCGGGGAGCAAATTGTGACCCCAGATGTGGCAGAGGAGGCGTGGTTGGTTTGGGGAGGGAGGAGGACCACGGGAGGTTTGGGGGAGTTGGGTTTGGAGAGGCAGTACAAAATTTTGGCCGAACTACAGAGAGATTCGGGGGATCAACACAATCTCAGCGACGAAACCCTATCCTTGTCAGCGAATGAATCACCAGCACGCAACGGCTCGTGGCGTGGCGACTATGCCAAAGTTATAAAAAAAATTGACATGTGCTTGAAAGTTGAACTGTAGCAAATAACGAAACTGGACTGCTTCCAAACCTTCACGTTGTTCCGCAAAATGAACAGCGAGAGGCGAAAAGTGCCCATTGCCCCACTGTCTTCTGTACTACTGTACCATTGCGCTCAGCCAGTGTACACATGACGTCCAGTGAACCGCCCATTCGTCAGAGGCCCCCATGCACTCGTCAGTCCGACTGGCACGGATTTACAGGAAACGGCTCGTCCTGGTCTGGCCCAATTCTGGGCGGCTCAACCACTTGCGACACTGCTGGGAGCGAACATGCAGAAGGAACAATTGTAGGTTGACTCAGAACCAGGGTGTGATTGTGCGACCGTTACGGAGGTACACGGGAGAAACAACGAATGTCTTCCATGCTCCAAGGGTCCTGCCAAACGGGTAACCATGGTCCTACCTTCAGGCCCAATTTGCCAGCGATTTGAAGGCATCCGTTACTGGATTAAACGATTAAAAACAACTTAGAATTCTTTCAGAACTTTAGTGTACACATGAGTCTTGTACAATACCCCCGCCGACACCAAAACAGTTACAAAACATTCGAGTAAGATAAGTCCTCCACCTGGCGAGAATGTCTGGCACTGAACAGCGAGTTCATATGAGGACAGAGATGACGACAAGTTACATCCTGCAAACAATATGAAACAGCTCGAACCCCTAACCTGGAGTTTCGGGTCATCAATCCCACATCTACCCTCTCGAACTTTCCTTTCTCCTTACCACTGAACAGTTAAACACTTCTTAAGTTATGCATTCTACTCAGTACATAGACTACGCTTCTGGAACTGTGATTTAGACGGCTTCACGATCATGGTTGTTTCTTCAGGGACGAAATACTGAACCCCTCCCACCTCAACATTTGTCTAAGGAGCAGAAGGCAAGTGCAGTCATTTACAAGAAGCTTCTCGTTGCAGCCGCCAAAAGTGAGGCTTGGAATTGGAAGCCCACTCGCCAACTCACAATGAACAGAAAGAAGTCCTTGTGATGTTTGCGAGATTTTGGCTCGCAGAATCTCAAACACTCCGATCGTATAACCGCCCATCGCTTCATCGAACGATCAGATTCAAACACACGCCATTTCTGAGGTCCAATAAGAAATGAGCACATCGCATCTCTGAATGAGACAATCCTACGCTGTAAATCTTTCACCGAACTGCAGCCTGTCAACTGGCATTTAGCAGTTGAGCCAGAGCACTTGTGACGAGAAGGCCGCCTCTGACCAGGGTGGCCTGGCCACCTTTCAAACTTGCTGATGGTAAACTCTGAAAATGATTGGAATATGGCAAATCTTATTCTTGGAAAAGCAGTTATACACCTCTTCCATGGAACACTCAACGTCAATGACCGAGCCGCGACGTAGAGTACACCTCTTCTTGCTTTGAATGGCGAGTGTTTCGGGAGCCCTACGATTTTCACGAAAATACAATAGAACTTGTCAACATACTCTGCAAAAGTGGTTCTGCTTAGGAGAACCCAGGGAAGGGCGACGCGAGAAAATCTGTATCAGATCTTGCATTTGATTGTGACCATTGAACGATTTACCAACCAGAGACGACCAATTTTTTGCAGCCAGACCAAAGCTGTGGCTGTTCCTATTTCTACTTGTGTAGTTATCTAAGTTTCATTATGCAAATAGGGTGTTACAAAGGCTTCAATGTGACGTGAGACCAGCGTAGACTCGACACGGATTATGTAACCCCGACTTAAAAACAACCCTTAGTTGCGGTTTATAATAGGTTTTTTTTATCGATCAGAGTCGTTTTTGCCCCATGTTTTAACCTTTCGCGTAACTGAAGCGCGTCGCGGAGTAGATTTTGGTTCTTCAAACCCCCAAGAGGTGTATCGATCGTGCTGGCAACCCCTCGCAAAACTGACTAGAGGAAAAGTCCACAGTGATTTTTGTTTGCTTGTGTTTTTGCTCTACAAGGTATCGGGTGTCCTGCATGCGGCCTCAAGGCTTGCATTTGTTGTTGCATGTGTTATTGTTGGGCAGGTTCTAGTACTGTTACGAGTGTTCTACGTAGTAAGAGCATTGATTATACCATGGGAATACGAGTTTACGTAATGTAACGGTAAATTGGAGTGAAACGCTATGGAGTGTTCCGTGGAAGAGGTGTACAAGATTAGCATGGCTTGTATCGCTATATTCCATTGCCTTCAACCATAATACCTTGCCTCGATTCAATGGATTGTCATCTGAGCCGTATCCCGAGTCCCCCCTTTCACCGCGTATGCATTTTTCTCTATAGATTAAGATGTCCGAAGTAGAATCTGTTGTATGGCTAGCACGGTTTTTTACTGTTTTTTCCCAGAAACTAGACCCAAGGCTTAACCCACAAAGTTTGTATGCAAGGTTGTAGTTTACAACACGGATGACATCATATTCTCCTGGACTTGCAATAAGGAATTTACTAATGCATTCTTGAAATTAACAATTGGCGTATACCACTCTGCCACGTGTTACAAACCCTAATGGGTACGCGCATTTATTGAGCTGCGAAGGGCAACGGTTGTTGACCGTTGACCGGTGACTCAACTGTCATAAGTCCATCATCCAGAAACGCAAAATTCATGATTGATCCCCTTGCCTGGTCAATTACGCCAAGATCAGAAACGAGGGCAGCCACATCAACGTCGCGCAGGGACGTCCGATTGGCTGTCCTTACAAACACATTTAGGACAGCCCCCAACGAGCACCAAGCAAGCGCCGACGCAAGGGCTGTTATGTGCGTCTGTGTCGCAGTGGACATGGAAAGTAAAGGATGGAGGATGCTGGACCCTTCTCTCATGCGCATCTGCATTGTTCGAGATGTCGAGTTTCTTGAGAATGTGATGTGGAAGGATTGGGAGACGGCCAAACCTTTTGGGGAAATGCGGCAAGATGCAGCTACCATCTCTCAGCTAATCCACTCCCTCTCGAGCGCCCTGGAGCAGAGGAAGTTTATGCCGTCATGCCTTTGTCGTCGGCACAACTGAGTGTCTCGAGACCGACGAGTATTTCGGCACGGCCTGCCGACGAGCTGTAGCCACTCCGCCCTGTTCCTCAGCACAGTGCCGCGACATTTGCCTCTTCCTCCTCCTCTTCTGGTCCGAGGCTGCCTCTTCCATTCGCTAGTGCATCTCGGGCACCAGCCACTCCCTCCCCACCTCATGTGACAGGTTTGCAGGTCCTTAGTATCCAGTTGGACTTCAGTGGTGAGGAGGTAGGGGGGGATGCTGGTGCAGATGTGGGCATGTTCTGCTTGGCCAAGGAGATGGAGGGTGTTGCGCTAGTAGGTCTGAGCACTAGTGATCTGCCGCGCACACTGGTTGAGGCAAGGCGCGACCCTGAGGGTCCATCTTGGGATGCTGGGGCTAGGAAGAAGGCAACTACCATGAGCACGATGGGGGTGTGGGATCTTGAGCCGGTTGACTTGCCTCCATTGATACCAAGTATGTTCTCTATAAAAAAATGCATCAAGAGGATAGGTGGTAGAGCACAAGGTTCGCCCTGTTGCTAAGGCTATACCTAAGAGCCTGACAAGAATTATGACCAGGTGTTTGCCCCTGTCGGCAAAATGGCCTCAGGTCAAGTGCTTTTTGCAGAAGCAGGGTACGAAGTTGTCATGTACATCAAGAGGATGGATGGCTTGAGGGTGGATGGCTGGAGATTGGGCAGGAGAAGTATGTCCGTGGACTTCAAGTTTGTTTTGGTAATCTGTTGGGAGAGATTCATAGGGTGCAGACTTCGATGTCACCAAATGATCTCACTAAGATAAGAAAAGGTACATGGTCTGCCGACGAAGGCTTGCATACCAACGGCAAGGTATACCAAGGTCTCATCGGAAGTCTTATGTTTGCTGCGGTGACCAATCGTTCTGACCTCTCTTTCACCGTCAACACACTTGCGCAGTCATGTATTGAACCCAGGCGCATTCACTTGTGTGCTGCTTTGAGAGCACTAAGGTATTTGGTCGACACAGACATCCAGGTGATCCATTATGAGCGATAGGGTAGTGAGCAAGTCATTGGGTACACTTACTCTGATTGGGTGGGTGAGGCAGACGGAAAGAGTCATGCGGCCTATCTCTTCAAGCTGGGTGGGGGGGCTATCAGTTGGTACAGCAAGAAGCAAGATAGTGTAGCCTGCAGCAGTACTGAGGCTGAGTACAATGCGCTATCTGAAGGGACCAAGGAGGCCATATGGTTGAAGAGATTGCTGGCTGGGATGCGTGTGAGTGATGGATTGGCAAATCCTTTGCCATGTGATAATGAGTCAATTGTTTCCCTTGTTCACAACCCCGTACTCCATCAGCGCATGAAGCACATTAAGGTAGCTTGGCACTTTGTTCAAGATGCAGTGCACAAGCAGGAGGTTGTGGTGCAGTCAGTACTGTGAGAGTACGACCCCGTTACACCACTTGGCCTTTTCTTATTTCCTTCCTTTAACATTTCTCTTTTATTCCATCTCCTTTGGTTTCCTATTCTTCCTTTTCCATTAACCTTTGGTTTATCCTGCTATTCTAATTATATCACCGACCAGGCTTGGGATGTACTGGTGCGCTCTATCTAGCGTAATCCTGCTGTAATCCCTTAAAGCCAATAGCCTCGCGTGGCTATACGCAGGGTGATTCTATCTTCTAGAAGGGTCTATTCCCCTAGGATAAGATAAACCTGGTTACGTGATGTACTCTGGAAGTATAAAAGCGCCTTGTACTGATCGATAGGGCAATCTTTCCTCGACACATTCGATCCTGTGACACTTGGTAATCAGAGCTTTTCTCACTCGGCCGCGCTCCACAAAGCAGCAGCAGCGGGAAAACCTGCCTCGAAAAACCGCCGGGGGCGACCAATTCGACGCCGATTCTGGTAAGCACCAGCTCCGCGATTCTTGAATTACCCCCTCCGTGCGTGTTTTGAACAGGATGGCAACCTTCGACAACACCGAGGTTACCCAGCAGCTCTACGCGCGCATCGCAGCCCTTCCGGAGGAAATGCGAACGGATCGCGAAGCGTGGCGAAACGAGTTCGAGCGAGTAACTCGACTCGCCAAAGCGCAGCACGAGACGACAACGGCGACGACGCAGCAGTTTCTCGAGGCTCCGAAACCGCGCCCACCTGAGCCGTTCGATCCGAGCGATCGAAACGCCGACGCCCGCAGATGGATCGCCGGGATGGAGATCTACTTCGCAGCCGTCGGATGGAGCTCGCAAGTCTGGGACGGTCAACGTGTACGACTCGCGGCGACACTGATGCGAGGGCCGGCACTCGAGTGGATTGGCGGCAACAGTACCTTCATCCACGGTGAAGCCACGTGGCAGCAGTTCCGCGCCGACCTGCTAAAACGCTTCGAGCCGATAAATTCTAGTTTCCTTGCGCGGGAAAAAATCCATCGACACCGACAGTTCGGGAGTGTAGCGCAGTACCTGCAGCAGATGGAGGAATTTTATAACCGCATTCCCGACCTGACCGAAGGGGAAAAAGTACAATCGTACCTCGCCGGGCTGAAGACCGAAGTCAAACGCCAGGTAGCAGCGTCAAACTACGCGAGCTACAGTGACGTCGTTTCGGCAGCGGAGCGCTTCGACATGGTCAACGCCGGAACACGACGGACGCACGTCGGCAGTACGCGACAGGGTGACCGCTCGGCTCACCCCACGTTCGCCGACTTGATGGAAGTTGACAGATTCGAAGGGCGGCCACGTCCGAAAAACACCAATTACACGTGTGATTTTTGCGGGGTGCCGGGTCATCGAATCTTCGACTGCAGCAAAATGAAAGCCGCACGCGCAGAGTATCGGGCACGCAACAGTGGCGGAATTCCTTCAGCCAATCAGAAGCAAAAAAATGGGAGTCGCCAGTGATTGCGGATCTAGCTGGCGAAAATAAAAAGATCCGAAAGCGGCCGCGGGATTCCGGGAAAATCAACTTCGACGAAGCTGATTCGACGCGAGAAGAAGGAAATGATGGGGGAAAATCTCCACCCCACGACCAGTCTTCGCCAGGGAAAATCGCCGAGGAAAAATCTGACTCCACGAAAAAAGACTCTGCCGAGACGGGGAAACTCCGAGAAGACCCAAGAAATTATAATGATTCATTAAAGTTATCTTATAAAGATGCTTTAATGAAAACGTATGATTCTCGATGGGCAAGGGCCTTGGAAAAATTTCGGGAGGGAATCCAGAAGAAGCAGAAACTTGTGGAGATCATACCGGCACTGGAAAACTTGGGGACAAAATTAAGGAGTGTGGAAAGAAGCCGACCTTTCCACGGAGTCAACGTCCTCTCCCGACACCAACCCACAACGACTCCTCGTTCCCCAGGGAAGACGTCGGTGGAGTTGAAGCAGCTCAAGAGGAAGCTGGGGGGCTATAAAAAGCTGCACAAACCCCGAACTCCTCCTCCGGATGCATCCAGTTCTTCGGCATCAGTAACGCGCATAGTCGTCAAGGAAACTCCGGGCCCTGGAGAAGACCCGTTCTCCAAGCAGCCTCAGCCAGCTGCTAGCTCAGGAGTAGATAGCAACACAAAGGTGTGTACGGAATATTGGGATGTACCCTATGACCCAATCAATGAAACTATCTTTGGGTACTCCGAGCAACGACTGCCCCTCGTGCTCGAGGTCATCTGCAAAGGACGACGCCTCCAAGCACTTGTGGACAGCGGAGCCTCACACACCGTCTGCGACAAGGCAGTAATCGACCGATTTCGGGAAGAGTACAAGCCTTCAGGATTCTCTGCAACGATGGTGGACGGCAGCAAGTTACCAGTACACGGCGAAGCAGTGCTACACCTACAAATTGAACCACTGCGCTGGAGACCTGCACTTCCCATCACCAACATCAAAGGGCTTGACCTGATCTTCGGGCGAGACTTCCTAAAAAGATTCAACCCCGAGATCAACTGGGTGAACCGCACCGCAAGCATCTACAACAATGGACGGAGAGTACAGCTACCCAACTGGGACGATACAGGAGATATCCCAGTGGAGACACTCGCACGATTCGAGAAGGACGTGAAGCGAACCGGCACAGGGTTCTTGGCAATAGCAACAGAGGCGGAAAACGACAGGGAGAGAACCTCGGAACCTCCAGGAAAGATCAAGAAATTATTGAAGGAGTTCCAAGATATTCTTCCGGACGATCTTCCGAATGAGCCACCGCCATACCGAACGCGATCAACACGAGATCGTGGAGGAACCGGATTCGAAGCCGACCTTCCGAGCACCATATCGGCTCAGCCCTACGGAGCTGACCGACATGAAAAAAACAAATCGAGTATCTCCTAGCCAAAGGACTCATCCGACCATCCACTTCGCCGTACGGTGCCCAAGTACTCTTCACACCGAAACCGGACGGAAGCCTGCGCATGTGCATCGACTACCGAGCTCTTAACAAGCAGACCATCAAGAATAAATATCCGATACCGCGAATCGATGACCTGCTTGACCAGCTTCGGGGAGCTACGGTATTTTCCAAACTAGATCTGCGGTCCGGATACTGGCAGATACGCATGGCGGACAACTCTATCCACAAAACTGCTTTCCGAACTCGGTATGGATCGTACGAGTATTTGGTAATACCATTCAGACTCACCAACGCACCGGCAACGTTCCAAGCCGAAATGAACCACATTCTACGACCACTTTTGGATGAGTGCGTGGTGGTGTACCTGGACGACATACTCATCTACTCGCGCGACATGAAGCAGCACGTCGAACACCTGCGACGCGTCTTCGAAATTCTTCGACGAGAACGATTCTACGTCAAACTGTCCAAGAGCGAATTCGCCCTTGAAAAGGTCCAGTTCTTAGGACACATGGTGAGCGCTCAAGGAGTTCACGTCGACCCCAAGAAAATCGAGCCGTACGCACGTGGAAGACACCCGAGAACGTGAAGGAGTTGCAGCAGTTCCTAGGCTTCGCTAATTACTACAACAGGTTCGTGCCACAGTATGCAAAAATCGCAGCACCACTCACGAATCTGCTGAAGAAGAACACGCCCTACAAATGGGAGCCGAAGCACCAGGAAGCCGTGGAGCAGCTGAAGCAAGCACTTACGTCCGCACCGGTACTCATTTTGCCAGATCCCGAACGCGACTACGTCATCGAAGCTGACGCCAGTGACCAAGCAGTGGGAGCAGTCTTG